CGTTACCTTCTTAGACGAGATGCCGATGTAAGAGGTAAGCAACACCGGGCTCTCGCTACATGACTCGCCTATCCGCTATTACCGCTGGCTCTCTCTCTTTCTCTCTCTCTCTCTCTCTCTCCCCCTCCCTCTCTCTCTCTCTCTCTCTCTCTCTCTCTCGTGTATTCGCGGCGTTAACTCTCCTTTCTGCCGCGACACCGCGTATAATATGCTCCACTGTCGCGAACGTGAACCATTGTTAACTGTAAAGCCCGTAAATGGAACATTGTTGCGTGATACTTTGTTACGTTGGCGTTGAAAGGTTTTCTCTGATACCGGGCGCAGCGATCCATTAAGCGTGATAGTAAATAAAAGTGCTCCAGTTACGATTTAATTGCCTCACCTTGATATGTGTGTGTGTGTGTATATATATATATATGTCATATATATAGATATACATACATAGATATATATATATTTTTTGTATGTATACATGTATATACACGTGTACACGCACACACGCGCGCGCGCACGTAGCGCACAACAAAGTGCGAAATTGCGAGAAACAGTCAAAGCTCGGCCGGGACGCAGAGAGAAAGACACGGCCGAAGGTCAAGTTTATTCGAATTCATTCGGGCTCGTGCTCTCTCCTCGTCAAGAGACGGGACAGGTGGTGGTGGTGGCGGCGGTGGCTGCAGCGGCGAAGCATCTCCTCCTGGAGCTCGAGGCTCGGACCTTTCGCCGATTACGCCACTGAAATCAGACGGCCGCTCGTCAAGGCCGGCGAACGCTACACAGAATCTCTGAATAGTGTTTCGCAAGAACGACCCAAATAACGAACCTGACGCCGACGCGTGGCGCCCACCCTTTCTCGATGCGAAAGGTGCTCTTGCGGTCTCGGTGACGCGCTCTCGCTCGAGTGCATTATCGCCGATTCCCTTTCTCCCGCGTAAAGCCGCTTTCACGCGCGCCGTTCGCGCGCGAAATCGATCAGAAATATGTATGTCCGCGATCGGTTCGCGCGCTGCTCCATTTTTCCAGCGCAGCGATCTTGCCGCGTCCCGCGCGGTGGCGCACAAAGTACACCGCGCGAGCGATTGACGAACGGGCAAGCGGAGCCCATTAGCGCGCGGCCCGGCGCGGCGCGGCGAGCCGACAGATAAATTCCGGCGTGGGAATAATTTTAATTGCTCGCCGGGTATTCGCCGCGGTGACGGCGAACTATGCACGAGTTATGCAGACCACCGCTCGCCAGCGACGTGGAGCCGACAATAACGGAAACGACGTCGACGAAGTAGTCGTCGGCGACCGAACGTCGACGCGGCGGGCGGGAGGCTCGGCGTGGCCGCGGCGGGATATACCGCAAGGATCGGGATCATAGAGGCGATCCTACCGCGCCTAGATCCGATCGCGGCCGGCAACTACGCGCTGCAAATAATTACAGCCGTCCTTACATTCCATAGCAAGGCGGGCAAACTGGTTCCGAGCGCGCGGCCGCTTGCGCTACTATACGGAGAGCCGCGGAGAGGAAACTATATTTCTTAAAGTATCACATACGTGTTTTTCAACCGCGCGCGCACCGCCCTGCGAGCCGCGCGAGCGCGTCCACCGTGTCAACGATCGCGATCGCGAATATCGCGCCGCGCGCGGCCGTGCCGTGTGGAAGCCGAGGACGGTGATTGCGCGAGTGCTCGAATAGACCGCGCTGTGCTCCGCACATCGCCGCTCTCTCCGTATTCCTCATTCAGTGTCTTGAATTCTTCAACGTGCATCACGCTAATTCCCTCTTCGCCGTTCCATCGAGTGCGCGATAAGACACGGATGAGAGACTTCTCTGTTTCTCTTTCTTTTTCTCTCTTGTTCTTCCCCCCCCCTCCCCGCCTCTCTCTCTCTCTCTCTCTCTCTTTCTGCGCCGCTTGAAATCCGCTCCGAGTCGCGGTCAAGAGTTCCCGATTTTTCATACTAATGTATTAAATATCGGCTCGTTCCCAAATATGCGAACGTTTCGAATCGCAATTAATCGTAACGAGCGAATGTACTCTGAACTCGATTTTCCATCGGATCTCGTAAGCGATCGGTCGACGGATTGGCCCTCCTCCTTCCCTCTCGCTCTCTCTCTCTCTCTCTTTCTTTCTGCCTACATAGGACTCGGCGATGCCGACGAAAATGCGAATCACATCGCGGACCTCTCCCGAGTGCGCTCGAGAGTTGAACCGCCGCGTGCGCGCGCGCGACATTCTCGTTGTTGTTTACACACTCGGCCGCGGAAAGATTTCACAAACAACGGAGAAACATACGTCCCCCGCGGGTACTGAATCCCCTCTCGCCCTCCCCCCTCCCCGCGCAGTAGCGGTCGTAGGCGCATTAATAATGTAAGTGTGCAGATGGTGTGCAGTGAGTGCGCGGCGCCGCTGACTAGGATCAATGTTCCGTTCGCGATCTATATAGTCGCTGCGCGGCCGCGCGCCGCGATATATAGGTAACGACAGAGAGAAAGAGAGAGAGAGAGAGAGAGAGAGAGAGAGAGAGAGCTAGGCTATGTGGGAAACAACACGGTTGCACACACCACTCGTCGCTCGCTCGTTCGCCTCCCCCTTCTACTCTTGCTGCTGCACCTCCTCCTCCTCCTCTTGCTCCTCCTCCTCCTCCCGCGCACGGATAATGCATTTGCGCGAATATTTTAACCAATCGTAGCGCAAAATTTCCATATGGAAATAAGTTCTCTCTCTCTTTTTCTTTCTCTCTCTCTCTCTCCCTCTCACTCTCTCTCGATCGATCGATCCGAGTTTCGCTCGCGAACTCGATTCACGGGAAAAAGCAGCTCTCCTTCGTCGACCGACTCGCGAAAGAAAAAGACGTTAACCGCGGGAGGAGCACGTGTCCCTCACGTTGTCGCTCATAAGCTCGTTCTGGCGAAATCGCGCTCCCCTCTCTCTTTCTCTCTCTCTCTCTCTCTCCTCCTCCTCCTCTCTGCATAATATTTCTCTCGAAATGAGATTTAAAAGCCCGTTTTAGAGAAATTACAATTTGGAACGGAGAGTGCCGGAGAGTGTCTGCAGAAATTTATCCTCCTCCCAATTTGTTGAGTGCAATTACAAATTTTCTTACGTCGCGGTTGTCGCGCGCGCCCTCGCGCGTTTGTAATTAGAATCTGCTCGTGCGAGTAATTAAATCCTGCCGCCGGTGTTTTCTTCCAATTCATCTTCACCCGCGCTGTTATTATTGCGCGGCAATAAAGGAGCATTAGAGCAACGGCGGCGGCGGCGGCGGCAGCGACGAGAAACTCGCGGCGCGATTATATTTTATTTCTCGTCCGGCCGGGCGAATATTTATCCGTTATCGTGGGACCGCGCGCATTGCCGTTGCCGCGGCCGCGGCGGCGAACTATGCGAGCGATTAAAGTTTCCCTATCGTAGGCATCGCGGATTATTAAATCTGTCAAGTAGTTTGCCACACATAACTGTACACTTGTGATACCACCGCGAACGTTTCTTCCGTATTACGCGACACGATGAGGGCTGCACCGCGGGAATCTTGTCCTGAGTTCCCTGGTGAACGAACGAACGAACGAACGAACGAACGAACGAACGAACGAATGAACGAACGTAGCTTGTCTAAAACGAGCTCGACTTTCAACAGCGCGGCGTCATAGCCGTAGCCGTAGTTATCGACTTGGCCGGAGCATCGAGAATGTCGGGCATATTACTTTCTGCGAAGATGAGTAGTAACGTACTTTATAAATTTATTCACATGATTTAAATAAATCAAGTATACAGTTAAGTCTCACGACACATGCGCGCGGACGCTCTCGCGCGTCGCTCGCTCGGCGGGTCGCGGGCGCACATGCCTCTCGCCCTTGCATCTCTCTCTCTCTCTCTCTCACTCTCTCCTTCCTGCCGTTCTTTTCGAATTCTCGCCATCTCGTCATTGACTCTTTCTCTCTCTCTCTCTCTCTCCCTCTCTTTCACACACGCGACGAACGCAGTAGTATCTTACACGAGGCGCGGCGGCAGGGGTGTAATGTGTAATCGAATATACATATTTACATATCGTACAAACCGCCTTTCGCTCTCTCTCTCTCTCTCTCTCTCTCTCTCTCTCTCTCTCTCTCTCTCTCTCTCTCTCTCTCTCTCACTCTCTTCCTCGTACCGGACATATAAAATTACAAAAAGTCTCGTCTACCTAGTCAAGAAATTCAAAGTCGAAGCTAGCGTCATGATTCTATTATCGCGGCGAGGACGTCGAAATGCGACGACGCGTGTCAATTACGTGTATGTATATATACAATGTACACACGTACACAGACGCATGCTGCGTAGTAGCGTATTTACACGGGTTCGCGCGCGCGCAGGTAAGTAAGTAAGTAAGTATTTACACGAAAGGTGTAATCGCCGCCGAGGGGAACGGCTCGCTCGTTCGCCCGCTCGCTCGCGCCTTATTGCTCGCTGAAAAGTCGTCGGACAAAGTAAACGGACGTAAACGTGGGCGGCACAGGACGCCCCGGAAGCCTCGACCCGCGGGTTCTCTCTCGCGAGGTCTCTCTTTCTCTCGCGTGCTCGCGGAAAGAAATTCCACGTGAAAATCCAAGCGAAGCGAAGCGACGCGACGCGACGCGACGCGACGCCCCGCGCGCGACTCGAGACTAGATTTCGATTGAAATTAAGGTGCGTACACACGAATCGAAAGAAACAGCCGATACATCTCGATGAGAGAAACAAATGCCGTGGGACGCGGCTGAGGAAGATGACGCGAGGCGCCGATCCCGTCCCGCCGCAGGAAACTCAAACACACAGACCGAAATTCGCTGGAAGCGAACCCGAGGCACCCTGTATACCCGGACGAGGCGCGTTCTCTCGCGAGACGCCATTCAGAAATTCGCATTACAGCGGGGGTGCGCACACGCGCAGCCGCGGCGCCAAGGGGGAGGCCGAAAGTCTTATTACGTCGAGCGGAGCGGAGGAAGACGGGGGCGAGGAGGAGGAGGAGGAGGAGGAGGAGGAGGAGGAGGAGGAGGAGGAGGAGGAGGAGGAGGAGGAGGAGGAGGAGGAGGAGAATAATAATAATAAAAGGGAAATGAGAAGTAAGGAATAAGCAAGGCGAGAGGGTAAACGAGGGAGAAGCGGCGTCGATCACATCCCGGCGACGGAAAAGAAGCAGCGGAACGAGACGAAGATGAAGAAAGATCGTCGCGTACCGTCGAGCCGAGCGGTCGCTCGCGGACGACTTGCGACACGTAACGCGACTGGCATCCTCGTAGTCTCCGGAGATGACAATTGTGACACGCGAGCACTCAGTCCCTCTCCCTTCGCGACGACGTCTCTCAACTATATACACGCGTAGTCTCGCGTGGCTGCGCGGCTCGGTCGTTTCGCGGCGGCGACGACGACCACCACCTGGTGGTCGTCGTCGTCGTCGTCGCGACCGAGCCCGCGGACGAGCAGCACTGCGAGATCGAGCACAACCTTTCGAGCGCGAGCTACCACCGGCGCTCGTCGCTGGCGCGTTCGAGCCGATGGTATCACAGTCCCGGCTTCTTCTTCTTCTTTTTCTTCTTCTTCTTGGACGTAGCGGCGTTGTCGCCACCGCGGGAACACCAAGGGTGACGGTCGCGAGGAGCTAAACCAGGTAGGCTTGTCCGGAGGAGGGCGGGGGCGGCGGTGGCGGCGGTTGTTGCTGCTGTTGCTGCTGCCTCCAGGCGGTTCTCTCCAGGGTGGAGTAGTCCGAGTCGATGGACGAGTAGATGTGCTCCGAAAGCGGTCTCCTGTGATCCTCGCCGAGGCCGCAATTGACGGTGGTGGTGGCGGCGGCGGCAGCGGCGGCGGCGGCGGCGGCGGCGGCGGCGGTGGCGGTCGTGATGAGATTACCGGATGGCACGCCGGAGACTGCGTCCCGGTAAGCGTGATTGACGGTCAGCCTCGGTTGCGCCGGCGACGACGGCGGCGGCGGCAGAGTTTGTTGCTGTTGCTGCTGATGCTGATGCTGATGCTGCTGCGGCAACACCGGTATCGCGCCGCACGAGTACGCGGGTGGCGCGTGTTGCAGCATCAGCGCCGACGACGCGTCCTTGAAGAGCGCCGCGCGCTGACCACCGCGCAACGTCGACATGCCGGTCTTCTCGCCGCCGATCCCGACGCCGACGCCGCTGTCCAGCGTGTAGGTGTTGATGTTGCGCTTGTAGACCAGCGGCGAGGACTTGCTCTCGATGGAGACGTCGCCGCCGCCGCCGCCGCCGCCGACGGTGGCGGTGGTGTTGCTGGTGGCGGTGGTGGTGATGCTGGCGGTGACGGACGGCGGAATCCCGTACCTCAGCCGCTCCCAGAACCTCTTCTCGCCCCACGTGAGTATGAGCGCCGCTGATCTCAGGTAAGGTCTCAGCTCGGGGTCGCGTTCCACCTCGACGCCGACGTGTCGGCCGGCCTGGACGATGACGAGCTGGGAGGCACGGCCGCGCAGGGCCTCGTGCAAGGCCGCGCGGAACTCGAAGCGCGACCACTCGGTCTGCAGGAAGTCGCGGGTCAGCACGATCAGCACGCGCCTGGACGCGTCCACGGCCTCGAGGACGGCCGGCGCGGGCGCGGAGGCGCGCAACACGCATGGTAGGTCGCGGTGATGAAGACAGAGCCGCAGGCCGGCCGGGCCGTGCTCCAACTCGACCGCCAACGAGTGCAGCACAAAGTCCTCGTCGTTCGGGCTGTAGCACACGTAGCAGTCGTAGAGGCGATCGCGCTCGACGTCGCAGCAGCCGGCCATGGCCGAGCCGGCGCTCATGGTCGCCGTGGTCGCGGCCTTGCCGGGTTTCGCGCGGAGGAACCGCAGGCCGTACTTGGAGTAGGCCCACGCGCCGACCGGCTCGCGGAACACAAAGGCCAGCACTATGATGACCAGGAGAACGAGAATGGCCGAGAGCGTCGCCGCCACCAGCGGCAGATAGTCCGACACCATGATACTCTCGATGACACCGCCCTGGGCGAAGTAGTCGGAGCAGGCGGTCTCGTTGACGTTGAGGCGACGTCGGTAGGCCGGCCTGGCGTCGCCGCCGTAGTAACACCACACGTCGCCGGCGTCGATCACCTTGTGCGCGTTGTCCGACACCCAGGAGGAGAGCTCCTGCAGGAACTTGCAGCGGCAGGACCACGGGTTGCCGCCGAGCGACAGCTCGACCAGCCGGGCGTTCAGCGTGACTTGCCACACGGGAAAGGTGACCAGCCGGTTGCCGTGCAGCCGCAGGATCTCGAGGGACCGCAGCGGCAGGAACGTGAGATTGCCGATGAAGCCGATCGCGTTGTTCTGCAGGTAGAGCTCGCGCAGATGCGACAGCCGCTCGAACTCGAAGCCCTTGAGCTCGCGGATGCGGTTGTCCTCGAGGTGCAGGATCTGCAGATTGTTGAGGCCGTTGAACGTGCGGTTCTGGATGGACTCGATGCCGCTCGCGTTCACGTACAGCACGCGCATGTTCTTCCGGCCGATGAACACGTGGTTCTGCAGCTCCCGCAGCACGTTGCCGTCCAGGTAGACCTCGGTGGCGTCCATCGGTATCCTGCGCGGGATCTCCTCGGCCCTGAGCCCCGAGCAGTCCACCGCGTTCGTGTTCCACGTGCGGTCGTTGTAACACTTGCAGCCGGCCGGGCAGGTCATCTCGCAGTCGCAAGCGTCGAAGTCGCAGCAGTGGCAGAGGGCGAAGCAGTGCGCCTCGTAGCGGCAGAGGAACTGCTCGGAACGCGCGCTCGACGCGGTGACGATGGCGACTCCGCGGGGGCCCGAGGTGCGGCACATCGCGTTGTCCAGGTCCATGACGCGCGGGTACTCCCTCGTGGAGGTCTGATTGTTGATGGCCGGCAGCCAGTCCATGGAGCAGTTGCAGTTGAAGGGGTTGCCGCCGATGTAGAACTCCGGCAGGGGCTTGCTGTCCGGCACCTTGGTCAGCAACAGCGACGTCAGCTCCATCGTCTCGATCATGTTCGCGTACATGTCGACCCGCGTGAGGTTCACCTTGTCGGCGAATGTGTTCGGCCGCACGATGGTGATGTAGTTGTTGTTGATGAACAACAGCTCCACGCTGTCCGGCACGGACAACGGCGACAGCTCGGTGATGCGATTGTGGCTGGCGTCCAGGGTCTTCACCTTGGAGTCGCGGATCTTGTAGTAGTTGCCGAGGCTCTCGATGAAGTTGCCGTGGATGTCGAGCCACTTGAGGTTGCCCGGTATGAAGGCGTAGTCGAACCACTCGATGTGATTCTCCGACAGGTTGAGCAGCAGCAGGCTGCTGACGCTGGTGAAGACGCCGTTGATGTCCGACAGGAAATTGCCGTCGAGCCGGATCGCCTCGAGCCGGATGTTCCGCTCGAACGAGTGCCGCTCCACGTGTTGCACCTTGTTACGGGCGAGATTGAGGATCTGCAGGTTCGGCAGGTCCCAGAGCATGCCGCGCGACAGATTGCCGATGTCGTTGCCGATGAGACGGAGGCCCGTGAGCTGATGGAGGTTGCGGAAGGAGCCGTTGTGGAACTCGCTGATGCGATTCTCGCCGAGGTCGAGGGTCTTGAGGAAGGCGAGGTCGCGCAACGCGTCCGGCACCGCGGCGAGCTCGTTGCTGCTGAGATCGAGCTCCTTCAGGTCGGAGCAGTTGCGGAACGCCATCGGGTCGACGCTGGCGATCGCGTTGCCCGACAGGCTCAGGCGGTTCAGCACGAACAGGCCGTTGAAGAGCTGCGCTCCCACGGTGTGCAGCCTGTTGTCGGACAGCTCGAGAGTGTGGAGATTGTAGAGCGGCAGGAAGGCGTTGCTCTCGATCCGGTCGATCGAGTTGTTGCGCAGATCGAGGATCTGCAGGAAGTACAGGTCCTTGAACATGCGGGCGTCGATGTGCGTCAGCTGATTGTACGACAGGTCGAGCACGATCAGGCGGATCAGGCCGAGGAAGGTGGCGTCGTCGACGTGGTCGCTGCCGAGCCGGTTGTTGGCGAGGTTCAACACCAGCAGCTGCTCGAGATTGGTGAAGACGTCGCGCGGCAGGTCGCGCAGGCCGTTGTACGCCAGGTGGATCTCCCGTAGGTCGCGGGTGCTGACGAACAGACCCTCCGGCAGCGTGTCCAGGCCGTTGTAGCTGGCGTTGAAGGTGCGCAGCACCGTCAGGCCGTTCAGCGCGTTCGCCTCGATCCGGACGATCGCGTTGCGCTGCAGGTAGAGCTCCTGCAGCTGCCGCAGGCCAACCAGCGGCCCGTCCTCCGACAGCCGCTGCAGCTCGTTGCGCGACAGGTCGAGGATGCGTATGTCGGCGCGACACGACTCGCCGTCGACGGCGCGCGCCGTCAGACCGATGTCGTCGACGTCGCGGATACGGTTCCCGGTGAGATTCAGGCTCTGCAGGTTGTCCAGCTCGCAGAGCAAGTCCGCCGGCAGCGCCAGCACGTTGCTCTCGACGATCTCCAGGGTGTGCAGTTCGCGGAGGCCGAGGAACGAGCGCGGGGCGAAGTCCAGGTGCCTGCCGGCGCCCCACGCGGCGTTGAAGGTCTGCAGCACCAGCCGCTTGAGCTCCAGCAACGGCTGGAACGCACCCTCCGGCACGCGCAGCACCTTACAGCCGTGCACGTGCAGCTCGTGCAGGCCGACCAGTCGCTGCCAGCTCTGCGCGTTCAAGCTGCTCTCGAAGTGGTGCACGTCGCTGCAGCGTATACGCAAGCGGAGCGCGCCGTCGAGCGACGGTGCGAGGGCAACGATCGCGGCGGGGTCCAAGACGCGGAGGGCGCAGTCCGCCGAGCGGGTGTCGTTCCCGGCCTCGTTGCTCCATCGGCACGAGGCCAAGGCGGGCCCAGGGTGCGTCGACATCAGTAACAGCAGTAGCAGGGTGCTCGCGAGCAGACGGCGAAACGGCGCGAACACGCTCGCGAGCGTCGGCGCCGTCGGCCACGACGACGACGTTGCCAGCGACGACGACGACGACGACGACGACGACGACGACGACGACGACGACGACGACGACGACGGCGACGACGACGACGACGACGACGACGACGACGACGACGACGATGACGACGACGACGACGACGACGACAACGACGCCGTCGACGACGTCGTCACGCCGCCGACGACGACACCACCCCTCGCCGTCGTCATGTCGCCGTGTCGCGCTTTCACGGGCTGCGATCTAGCCGTCCGTTGGACGTGAACGTCGTCGGGTCGCGCGACGACGACGACGACGTTCGTCTCGGCGATCTCGGGGTGACTAGCAGCCCTGCCCCTTCCTTCTCTCTCATTCACGCGAGCACTGACGTATTTCGGCCAAGACAGACACACACGCGCGCGCGCGGGACACTCGACACCACCACCAGCACGACAATGATGATGATGATGATGATGATGATGATGATGATGATAATGTTGACGACGACGACGATGATGATGATGATGATGATGATGAGGATGATGATAATGATGACAACGTCGACGACGACGCCGACGAGGACGATGACGACCGCGGGGCGGGCGAGCAGGCGGACGACGACAACGACAAGCACACACGCACGCACGCCACATACACACGCGCCGCTCACGGAAGGGAGAGAGAGAGAGAGCGCGCGCGCGCGCGCGCGCTCACGCACCTCGTATCACGTATCAAACGCGGAGCGGCCCATTTCCCTTCTCGCCCTTTATCCGCGGGCCGAGAGCAACCTCCTTGCCTCCCCGGACTCCGTCGCACGTCGTGTGTTTCTGTCAGCCGCGCGTACTCTCGTCAACCCCTCGTTGTGCGTACGTCGCGGGACGTCGACGTCGACTCTTTCTCCGTCGCTCGCTCCCTCGCGCGCGCGCGCGCGCGCGCGAGATCGAGAGTCCTTCGCGCGAGATTATCCTTTATCGATGTCCAATCCTGCTAATCGGTAACAGGCAACAGGCAACGTACTGTCCGTTCCCGCTCGGCGGCAGCGCGCGTATCAACAAGCGCCCTGTCGCGCCCGACGACGGAGCCGAGAAGACGCTCCTCCTCGACGATCAACGAAAACAGGCTCGTTCGGGCGCGAGCACACGGAGCACTACTCGTGCCGCACCGTCGCGCACGCACTCGCCTCGCATCGAGCACCAGCACTGAAACCCGTAGGCGCCTGCGAACGCGCATCATCGGCATTCCCGACCGTTGCGGCCCCCGGTCTCTCCCCACCGACGGTGCTAGAGGGCACCACCTTGCTAGGACCGCGCGGAGAGCGGGGGTAGCGAGCATAGGGATAGTCGGTAGGGTTGAAGTCGGGATTCGTTCCGGGGAATAATAGTCTCACGTGGTGCCATTGTCAGCGTCGGCGTAGCGTCGACGAATCCGAGCGTCGAACGCGCGCACCTTCCGCACGTCGTCCGTGCGCGTCACGTTTCGACGTGGGGAAGGATTCTCTCGACGAACGCCCAGACCACAGAAGCCGGCGTCGCAGCGATCGCTCTTCCCGGGGAGCGCGTCTCGCGCGCCGCGGACCGCGCCGGAGAGGAAGAAATCCACCGCGACTGTCGCCGCGTTCTCTCTCTCTCTCTCTCTCTCTCTCTCGTCGTCTCCGAGACTCGTGCATTCTTACTCCGATCCAGCGAGCGAGTCCTTACTCAGGTCCGCGTTTTTTCAAGCGAAGTCCTCCGAAATCGCGCCGCTTCCGACAGCCGCTCTCTCTCTCTCTCTCTCTTTCGAGAGAGAGAGAGAGAGAGAGAGAGAGAGCGGCTCCTGCGTTTAGGAAGTACCAACCCACATTTCACGCGCGACCACGGTCGGCGCCATTGTGGTTACCTGCGCGCGTTGCTTCCAGTCGCGACGTCGATAATATCCCTTCTCGATCGGCGACAACGCGTTATCCTTCTCCTCGGTTCTCTCGCGGTTCGCAAGCGGAGGACCGTCGTTCTCGCTTCTCGGCTCTCGCAACCTTCCGCGCGCGAGATTAGTCCCAACGAGCCGCCTAGGGATTATCATCCCGCGCTGCCGGCGTGAGACCGCGCCGCCACCGTCGCCACGGGCATCACCTCGCGTCGTTGGCGAGGCAGTCGCTCTGCGCTGCGAGTTCAGGCGAGTTTCAGTCCGGTGCTGGTGTGCATCGCGTGTGCCTCGTCGTGCGTTCTCGTTCCAGCCGCTCCTCACATTGTTTCTCGCGCTGCGCACTGCGAAGCGAAATCCCGATCTCGTATTTCCGACGACGCTCATACTTGCGACGATGAAGTCGGCTTATGTGCTGTGCGCATTGCTCTGCGTAGCGATCGACACGTTGGTGTTGGCCAGCGACGGTGAGTCTCTCTCTCTCTCTTTCTTTCTTTCTTTCTTTCTTTCTTTCTTCTTTCCTTCCTTCCTTCCTTCCTCTCTCTCCCTCTTGGTCGATGCCCGATGCGGCACGATAGCGTTTTAGAACGACGTAGAAAACGGCGTCCCACCGACACACGCGAGACGCTAGGCTGCGTGGCGTGCGTGCGCGCGTACGTAATAACGGGTTTCGATAACGGATTAGAGGCGGCTCTCGGTTTGTCATGTACAACGCCTACTCACCTTCAACCGACCCGGTAACGACGGGTTTTTCCAGGGTTGTCGCGAGTTCGAGTCGATCCTGCGTCGCGTTCGTTCCGTTCGGTCGTTTGCTCGTCCGCCCGTCCGTTCATTTGTTTTTTTGTTTGTTCATTCATCCGTTCGTTCGTTCGTTCATTCATTCATTTGTTCGCTCGCTTGCTTGCTTCGGTTAGCGCCCCCCTCCCCTTGATCTTCTTCCCTTCTCCGCGGGGATAAGTGTGCGCTTTTCTTCTCATTTCGGGAAAAAGGCGCGAGGGACAAGGGACGCTTGGCGTCGCGGCGTGTTTCTTGCGCGCGTTCTCGACCTTCATGTCGCGTCGGCGTCGACGCCGGCGGATTCGAGCAGATTCCTCGTCGCTATCGATCTCAACCGGCGGCCGAATCATGCGGACTTCGACTACGTCAGCGATAGCGATCAATGCACGACGTGATAATACTTTGGCCGGTGCGATAATAAATTGGAGAGCGCCGACGAGTGTCCCGCCGGTGGTGTGTATTGCTTTTACACGTGTCGTACTTTGATAGGTGTTGTTTTTAGTCTGATGCGAGATATCGTACAAATTCGTGGAGGTATTGGGAAACTGTGAGCCGAAATCATTTAACGCACCGAAGATTAAAACATCGTCAAGCTTGAAGGGTGATGAAGCCGCGATAGAATATTGCTTACGAATTTATTGTATAATAAAATTCAAGGCGTTTCTTATCTCGCCATGCCTTCTGAAAATATTTTACAAGTTTGAAAAATATACATATCAATATTTGACCAATAGTTGATTTTACAAAATATTCGCATGCGATGCATCATCATGCGAGCGCACGTAACGTACAGTACTAACCAGATAGCTGAAACTTGTTAGAGATGTTTCAAGATCTCCTAAAAAAATGTCTAAAAAGTCCTTAGCACGTACACAATAAAGATAACTTGTGTGTACATTTTAATTGTTAATGTATTATAATATAAAGAACGTCTAGAAAAGCTGATGTCTTTGAGATGCCTTTAATGTTCCCAAGATTGATTTTACAAGTTATACTACATGGCCATATCGACCCACATAGATTAATTTATCACAAATAAATAAAAATCTGAGTATGTACTTAGCCAACACGCATGTCCAAAAGATATGTCTGAGAGATGTGTTAGATGTGATATTGTCTCAAACATATCTCAACATTGTCTGGGTTAATTGTTGCTCAATCGATCAAGGATATTCCTAAAACTGATCACTTATTATGACCAAAACAAAGTCTTGTCTGTTGTACAAGAAACAATGTATGGATCCTCTGTATGTTCAGGTGCAGCAGTAAAGGCGACATCAACTCCTGTCGCTCCAACTGAGGTTAATACCAAAGAAATTAGCACAACTGCTATTCCTACAACAACCAAAGTTACATCCGAACCGAATGTCACCACAAATTTTTCTGTTTCGACTACAATTTCTACCAACCCTACTATTTCTACTACTACTCTTCCTACCACTATTATTCCACCTGTTACCACCACAAACAGTTCTACTATCAAAACTGTAACAACTGCTGCACCGCCAACAACTACGACAGTTAAACCCAGCACATCTTCAAGTGTAACTCCGCCGTCTAGCAGTACAGCTACACCCAATAGCACAGCAGCGCCGCAAACAACGCCTGTACCACCAGCTTCCAAAAATCGTCATTTTGATGGCCTGAGCTTCTTTGGTACGTAAGAGATATACTGATGATTAATTGACGACAGATTCGCCAAAGCCAAAGTAATATAATATCATTACAGTCGCCTAACATATGGTATATGTTAGTTGTTGCTTTAATACTTAATGTATCACAAGAATATTATTTATTATATACTATATTTGTCCGAGAAAAATGTGTGTTTCAATAAGTCAGCCGTTACGTGCGTCCCATTAAGACAATTGATGGGTCGTAAAGTCGTAAAGTGCTAAAGAATCCCTTGTGTTTTCGCTTGTTGCAGGTGGTATTATTCTTGCTACATGTCTGATGGCAATTTCCGTGTTTGCATGGAAGTTTTACAAACAATGCAACGAGGGGAACTATCGTACACTGTGATAACGTGCGAGACTGTAACAATAATCTTTCAATGATCGACAACTAAATGCAGTCAACTGAACTAAGAACTACGAATAATTATTTTATTGTAATAATATTGCGTATTTTTATAACGCAGTTAAGTGTTGCGTGGTTTAAGTGCTCTTAGTAATGTGATGTGCAACCACGAGTTCAGTTTTTCTCAACATATATACGTGTATATGTATATATATATATACACATCGTATATATATATATATATGGAATATGTAATATATATAATATATATATTATATATATTACACACACACACACACATACACACACACACCTATTTACAAAGAGTAAATTATCACATGTATTAAGAGCGACACATCGCGGTGGTGTTTGTACATGCGTTTCATTAGTAGATGAAAGATAGTGGAGAGAGGTTGCGACGTAACAGGAAGAGAAAATAGAGCGAAAAAGGAATGAAATGACAAGAGAATAGGTGGGTGGAGAGGGGAGAGCGGGCGGACTGAGGAACGTTTCTTCACAGAGTTAGTGACCAATGAGGGGAAGAAGGAAAGAAACAGCCCGCGGTTCTGCAAACGCGCGCGCGCTATCCTACTTGTTATAATTTCTGCTCGAAGTCGCTAGTACTCTCGATAACGACGCGACTTGTATCTGCAATCTGCATCGGAGCGTTGTGTATATACCTCGTGGTTAGAGTTACGTAAGATTAATCTTTTCTACGATTCGATAGAAAGAGAGAGAGGGAGGAGGAGGGAGGAGAAAGTGCTCGGTGCGCGAGCGCGCACTCGACAAGCGGAGAGCGCGATACGGCATTTTGCGAGCGAAACTCTCGCCAAGACTTGCCGATTGTGTCGGCAGAGTCGGCACGAATCGATGTTAATAATCTGCGAAGCGTCACTCGATGTCGCATCCGCAGCGGGGTATGATGTGTAACAAATTAACACCGCGTGTTGTCGGGAAGGTGATAGCAGTTGCAGCACGCTCGCACGTTGGGTGTGAACTGATAACTCCCTCCTCCTCCGGTCCCACGCTCGTCGATGCCTTCAGTCGCCGCTGTCCGCTGTACAATGTTTTCCCGGTGAAAACGCGTTTATACCACGCGTGGATAATCGTCCGTGAAGATCTCGGCATTGCGCTTAATCAGAGCAAACGTTCATTCTTTTTTTTCTTTTGTAGTGCGAGATATACGTAAGATCACGGGATCCTTGAGAGAGAGAGAGAGAGAGAGAGAGAGAGAGAGAGAGAGAGAGAGAGAGAGAGAGAGAGAGAGAGAAACATAACATATGTTGGCATAATATTTTCATTTCTTTTCCCCTTCTCTCGTGTTTTCTCCTTAATCAGATAACGTGATCTCTGTGTAGACTGAGGTATCGACCGTGCGATTATTTACGTGTTGTAATCGCAACCGTCGGCGTTCTAGAATTTTCTGCGAACTCTTCAACGTGCTTACTTGTCGGATAAAAAGCCTAAAAGCGTGCTCATAGATCGAGCAGTTCCTTTCTCACACTCTCGCCTAAAACACAATTAGAGGTAATATTGAATTAATTTAAGGCAAACTTGTTCTTCACTCTTGCTCACGTCTTTTCGTTTTTTCTTTTTTTTCCTTCATTCCTTTTAGAGCGGCGCGTTGACACAGATTGATTTGCCGTAGACTTTCGAGATATAGCGAATGTTATTTTAAGTATATACAGTCTTGTATAATGTCGAGAGAGAGAGAGAGAGAGAGAGAGAGAGAAAGAGAGCGAGTGAGTGAGCAAAACCTTACGAAGCGATTTTGTAAGCGTTACGTATTTCTTATAAAAAAAAAAAAGGGAAAAAAAAGAAACAAAAACATCACATGTTATGTTATCTGTATTCACGTTTCGTGCAATATTCGTGTAGAGTTTTTAATTCCTCGATTTATGTTGAAGTTACGTCACGTTGGTACAACATTGAAAGACCAAAGACAGAATATTGCGTGGTATTTCATGAATTTCCCGACTCCGCTCCCGGTTTTCCTCTCGACACCGACGCGCGCTGACACGGATGGCACTACGGGGACACTTATCTCCGACCGCTCGTTTTTGCGTTTTTTCCTTGCGTGTGAACAGGGAAGAGAGAGAGAGAGAGAGAGAGAAAGCGCTACGATATGAAATCCATAATGTCTATCTCTCGGCGCGAACGTTGCATCTGTACTAACCGTTATGTTTGTATCAATACCGCTGTTGCTTTCTCCGAGAACGCAATCGCGCGCATTTGTCGAGCGCAATCACCAACGATTTAGAGCTACAGAGCGGACACAAAGAAAGCGCTGCCGAGAGCGGCGATATGTGGATCGATCCCGATCACGAGCGATCCGCGATATTTTCAGCGCGCGTGTAGATTGTCGTCGGCGACTGGTCAGATAAATCGGCAGATATTCATAAGCGACGGCGGACCCGGCGAGAGATATCTATTCCCATGTGCGATAAAGGCGATAAAAATATCAGTCAGATTACAAATAACTCGCCGCGGTTATCGCAGTCTCGAGCGAGTGTCGCGGCGGGTTTTCACATAAATTTTGGCTTCTATCGGAGAACAATCGCAACGGTAACAGTCGATCGACGTCTCTCCGGTAGACCGCGTGCGTTTCATTATCGGTGTCTCCCGGCCGCGGCTGGCTGGCTTTTAAATAGACGTTTAAATACCGTCCAGAAAGAGTATTGATCCGACGCGGTGCCCGTCCGTCCATTCGTGCGTTCGTTTGTTCGTTACACGTACTTGACACACATATTTCCGCCGGCATGCGCTTGTAAAACAAATATGCAGGACCGCGCGCGCACACACAAGCCTCTCTGATACGGCTGTTTTCCCCGGCGCCGCGGAAAGCCGCCGTGTTTTTTTCACCGGGCGTTACGCGAGGTCGTGGAACGCGCGCCCAGTAAAAGCTGTTGGGGTAAAAGGTGAAGAGCAGAGAGAGAGAGAGAGAGAGAGGGGAGACGGTCGATAACGGTGCGACCGCTTCGCGGTTTAGAGTTCGTTGTAACGGATATTTAACGAGGTAAATTAGAACGCACGTTAAATCGCGCGGCAGTCCCCCTTGCCCGCCCTGCCGGCCCCCCCCCCCCCGCTAGCGCGCGTTTATTATATTTGCAGACTCTCGCCGGCAAATGATCCGGTCGGGTCAGCGCGAAATTTTCGACGCGCCAAGCGGAACGACGGTTGACAGGCGAGACACGGTAACATATGGCATTTTACGTAACACCGCGCTCTTACTTCCGACCGCTTCGCGCGGCAGCTGTCGATGAGCGCGCTGAATCGATCGGCGCATTATTTTCGTGTTGTCGCGCGTTACTTCGTTTCATTTTCCTCGGTGTTGTATTTTTCTTTATTTTTTTTCTTATTTTCCGAGATTCTACGGAGAATAACTCGCGACGAGATGCACGCGAGTGGAGCTTGTGTTCTCTCTCTCTCTCTCTCTCTCTCTCTCTCTCTCTCTCTCTCTCTCTCTCTCTCTCGTATTTTTCTCTCCGCACTGAGAGACGCGGTAATTGCAGCTCGTGGAAAACGAAGACGTTCGAAAAACGTTGGAGAAGGTGGAGCAGCAGCAGCAGCAGCAGGAGGAGGAGGAGGAGGAGGAGCAGCGGAAGGGAGGAGGATCGATAAGAGCGAAGTAGCGGGTATCGTGCATAAGGATTTGCACTCGGCGAGATCTATAGTTTCGCCGACTACAATGAGATATCCGGCGGCGAACACGGCGCAAGACGGTGCCGTGGTATTATAGTCGATAAACTCTCTCGCTTGGCACGCCGCAATAATTCATTCGACGCTGCCGAGTTTCCTGGGCGTCTTCCGCGAAACTGAATACGGGACGTCCCGTTAGCCCCGCGATGTTTTGAGGAAAATCCAATTCGACCGTTTCCCGCTGAATTATTAGTCAAAAGGGCTGGTCGAGAGAGCAAGTTTTGCTGTTTGCGATCTCGTGATTGTCAGAAATATTTTAAGCCGGTTGCTTCGACTTGCCTCTCTCCCTCCTGCCCCCTCTCTACCTCTCTCACTCTCTCTCTCTGCCTGCGCTCTCTCAATAAATAACGCGACGAGAGAGGGAGAGAAAAGCGTAATATAGCGATGAGGAAATATTAATAAAGCTACGAGAGACCGTGGCGCGCGCGAGACAAGTCTCAAGACAAAGAATAATAGGAGCGACGGCCGAACTCTGGCGGCTCTCTCTCTCTCTCTCTCTCTCTCTCTCTCTCTCTCTCTCTGCGAGAGCAGCGAGTAAACAAAAGAAAAGTTTCCCGTTGAACAAGCACATGTGCCGAGCGGCGAAGGAATCGCGCTGCAAATATACTTATTTCAATCCCGCCCTTGGGTTCTTGTCGGCGCGGATGATGTCGTCGTGGACTCGCCGATTTCATCGTTCTTTCTGTTGCGGAATTTTGCGAGATATCTCTCGGATTAAGTACGAAACAACGAAACATTCGCGAACTTTGTGGGAGTCACATGCGCGCCGCTTATTCCCATTTTATTTCGCGCATATCAGGCGTGCGAGTGTCGCGGCGCAACATTCCCAGGGTGGAGAGATAGGGCGCGGAAAAGCAGATAAGAAAAACACACGCGTGCAGAAAGGAGATCGCGGGCGGCAGCAACGTCGGCGGGCGTGACGCGGCAAGAAAGAAGCAAGGAAAAAAAACTTCAGCGTGACATCACGTTGCGTTTCGTGAGAATCGCTCGGCGAAAGCGCGACACGACGTCGTTCCGCGCAATTCGCTCGCTTCTTTCCGCAAAAGCACAGCGGAAGTGTGTAGCCCGCCGACGCGGGGCTGCCGCCATTCACGGAGGAAACTGCGATTGAAAGTCGATTTTCGCGGATGGATCGAGTTTCCGCCGGGAGTTACGCCGGGCGTTCCGGAATGCAATCAGTTATTGTACAAATTTAATATGAGATCGCTTCGGGCGTCCACGTGGATTCTCAAACGCGAGCCGACTCCGAATTGTCTCGAGGAAACTCGCCGCGGATAAAAAGGCGGAAAACAGAGAGGCCGGAACGTCACTCGTAATGTGTGTGTGCGTGTGTATGTGTGTGTGACTGATGCGTGTAATTACGCAATTAAAGGTGATGACATACGAGACACCGCATACTGCAGCGCGCTTTCATCTTCCTCATCTGCGACGCGACGTTGCGAACCATCGGCTATCAAAACATTCTCTCTCGCCTTATTTATCTCCTCCGCCAGCCGTACGCTAAGCGCGCCTTTTTCTTCCTCGTGATTTCACTTCCGCTTATCAAGTCGCGTTCAGGGTCGGATCGATTATTCAGCCGGCGAGTTTCGCGAAAGAGAGAATGGATGGTACACGCATTCTGCATTTTTCAGCAGAATCCTGGACGTCCCTGCGAGTCGAACTTGCAGAGCGATTGAAGTTACAAGTCTCAGGTTCTCTTTGCTCTAGCAGAAATTTAGTTTCCCAACTAAAATGGAACGTTTAACCTTTGAGACGGGAGGGACAGATATATTGCGTTAATTTATGTGGGTCAGATTATCCGTTTGACTTAAATATCCTAAAATTAATCAAGCGAGCGCAAAATGATTCTCGCGAGTAATTCGAGAATATTCGCTGGAAAATTTAATACGTCGGGAGAGTTTAACGTTGCTTTAGCGGAGCGTTATGATATCGAGAGCGAAAAGGGGATATTCCATCCAGAATTACTCCGAGACTGACTTGAACCGGCCGATTATCCGGGGACGTTCCGATATTAATTGGAAACGGTAAAATCCAATTGTAATCCGAGATTATCCGCGATCGCGGGAGAACATACATTCTCAAGACACCCTGTACAATTTGCTATAATGTAGGGCGATGTTGGAAAGTCCGACCGCGCGGATATCAGCTACCGTGATAGCGGGGAAAAAATGGATTCGCCTGGAGCACGATACGCCCTTACTCCTTTCACTGAGAGTCCGCTCCGCGGTCTACTATTTATACTTCAGTGGAAATTCTCAGGATAACGACACGGAACTATTACGTAGCGCGCGTAACGGCCGGTGCAGCACCGCGATTACGAACCGCGGACGATAAATTCTCGCCGCGTAGCGCTTGGCTGTGAGCGACTGTGCCGTTTCAACGACACCTGAAAGAGCGATAGGAATTTTAACGGCGCTCCGACGACACTTGGAAGAGCGATACGAATTGTAGGGTCTTGATAAATCTCCAGCAAGTTGGAGAAAGAACTGAAAACGAACAGCCTTTCTCGTGAAGGGAAGGAAAATCTCTTCTCGTGACCTCCCGTTCCTTTTAAAGCACCGGCGGTTTAATAGCTTCACTTAGCTTTCTCCGCGATACCGCACGTATGACTTTTTCATTTCTGCGTGCAGACCCGTATAATGTTGAGGAAACTTCACAACTTCACAACTTGGTCTGTAAACGTGAATCTGTTTTGGAATTGGTTCTCGAGTTCAGTCTCATTTTCGGCTTCCTTTCACGGTAAATCGACCGCCTTTCAAGGCCTTCCAAGGCGACAAAGGCACACGAATCGTAAATACATACACACACACACACACAGCGCCTACTCGACTGACGAATAATTCATCGCCATTGAATGTGTGTGCAACAAAGTCAAGCTCGCATCAAAAGTCGAAGCGAATTTTTTCGAATAATTGCAAGCGTGACTTGACTTGGGCTCGCTTGAGCTCTTAATTATAAAATTATTTCACCGAGAAACCCGACTCAATGTTGAAACTCGTTCGTGTTTAATTTATCTGAAATTAAACCGTCATGGTGAACGGCGTTACGCTCTCCGTTGGGACACTCGCGAGCGGCGCGAGTCGGCTTCGCAATTAATAATACCGGCTAAGTAACGTGTCGCCAATCGCTGAAACTCCGCTGCAAATTGTAACGACAGATTGCGCGCTGCGGTGGACGCGTGCTGCGAGGCGAGGCCAGGCGGCCGCGTGTACGCCGCGAAGTCTCTCACCAGGGGCGGAGTTCGTGCCGACCGTCAATAAGAGAGCACACACACACACACACACACACCCTTCCGTATTTCTCCGTCTCGTATATTCTTTACCCTTCTCCCCCACGTCGTATCTTTCGCCATTCCTCTCTCGCGTCGTCCTTCCCTGACTCCCTCGCGCATTTTCCACCCTTGTCGAAGCCCCACATCTTCACTTTTCCTCCGTCTTCCTTCCGCCCAGCTTGACCTACTCCTTCTCTCTCTCTCTCCCTCCCTCTCTCTCTCTCTCTCTCTCTCTCTCTCTCTCTCTCTCTCTCTTCTCTTTCTGCCGTCCTCCCTCGGCACCTCCCACGCGGCGACCTCTGATCATTAAAAAAATTCATCATTAAAAAATAGAACAAAAAAGCAGGAAGCAGATCTCTCGCGTAATACGGCAGCTCGTACGTTGCTCGTTTAGTAAAGACCGCTGATAGATCGTTTCACTTCACGCGCGAGATGCGATTTAGAGCCTCTCCCGTCTCCCGCAGCTTTGACCGTATCATAACTACGGTAAGAATTCGCGGCGCGCAATTTCGCTCGAAATTACTCCGCCTCCCGTGCCCCTCGCCCCCAGGGTGGAAGCTCCGCTCCGTCATTAACGTCACATGCGGGGACAATTTACGGATCCTCCCGAAGAGCGACATTCATCGGACGGCGAGTGACAAGCGACGCGTTGCGAGGAGGATCTCCCGACGAGCGAGCGTCCGTCTGCATATTTCATCGTACTTATCCGCGCCCTGGCCACATACATTAACATTTCATGGCCGATACGTCGGCGACTCGACTCGCCACGGCGCGACGAGGCGAGAACGGCCGCTCCTACATCACTCGCTCCGCTTCACACGGAGCGGTCTGCCTACAGCGAAGCTGTCGCGCGGCGAAGCTACTCGCTCGAGCTGAACGCGCGCCGCGCCGCGCCGGCTGATCGATCGACGCCCGCGACGGCGTCGGGGCAGGTCCGGAGCGCGCTCACTGGCAGCCACTCGTGCGGCAGGTCGCCGAGGTGCACGAGGGAGAGATCGGCGGAGCCGGGAGGCCCGGATGATGCTCGGGACGTTCCCGGCTCCCCTAAACAAGTAGGCCCGGCGTCACCGTGTCATTAGGCGCGCCGCGCGACGCCGCTAATCCCTTCGATCGCGGGATAATCGCTCGAGCAGAGCCTCCCCGCGTTCCTCAGCCGTCCGCCCGCTTCGCTCGCCCACTCACCTTCATGCTGGAGGATCGAGGGCGCGAGAACGCGCGCGGGACGTAATCGCGCCGTGTGGTCCACGCGCGCGCCGCCGGAACGAGAGGGGAAGGAGAGCGCGAGAGGGAGGAGAGGGAGAGGAAGAGAGTGAGAGAGCGAGAGAGAGAGAGAGAGAGAGGAACGAGAGCGTGCGCTGCTCCGCTGGCGAAACCTAGATTTCGCGCGCGAAACAACACCCTCCGTTGCGGCTCGCCGACGAGGACGCATTCCCCGCGGCTCGTCCACGGCGGCTCCTCGTCCTCGCCCTCGACGATCGCTCTCTTGCTCGATTACACCACGGCGTGGCTTCGACGCTGTGTGGTCCAGGTTGCGGCGGTGGCGACGGCAGCGGTGCTAGAGGCGGTGGTGGCGGTGGTGGTGGTGGCGGCGGCGGCGGAGGCGGCGGCGGCGGCGGCGGTGGTGGTGGTGGAGGTGGCGGTGGTGGCGGTGGTGCGTCCGCGGGGGACGTTTCGCGAAGTGTGCGAGGAGAGAGCCGCGGTGCGCGCGAGAGGGCCGGATCGATAGCACCGAAAAGCGAGAGGAAAGAGAGCGCGGCTGGATCCTCTCTCGGCTAAGACGCTCCGTAGTGTCGTAGGACGGAGCTGCGTGAGCTCAGCGTGCGCGCCGGTTCCGTGGAAGCTGTGAACGCTTCGAGTTCCTCGCGTGATCGCGCACGTGCGTGCCTGCGTGGGCCACGACGTGGGTCGTCCGGGTCCGGGTCCCGCGGTCGTGGTGTGACGTACGTGTGTGAAGGACCGCCAGGTTTCTCTCTCCGCGCTGCTGCGGGTCCTCGAGGACCCGCGGCGAGAGGTCGTGCGGGAGGAGGAGGAGGCGAAGGAGGAGGAGGAGGAGGAAGAGGAAGAGAAAGAGAACACGCGCGAGAGCGCGACCTTTGGGTCCTGGCCGGCCGTCGCCGCATGATCTCGAAGACAACATCCTGTCGAGCGTCCTCCGAGTGGACGACCGAAATCCGCACAGGACACCCCCAGCCCGTTCTCGATAGCTGCCTCACGCTCGGGTCCGGCTGGCTTTCGCGCTGACAGCTGCTACTCCGCGGGGAAGATCGACGGACCGCGGACAATCGCCGCACGCGACTGTCGTCGGTGCTGCCCGCCGCGGCCGGTGCGCATTCGCGAAGGACGAGCCGTCGGACGTCGGGACCTTGGATGCGAGCACGAAGCGGAGGATACCGACGACGACGACGGGGGTTGTTACGTCGAAAGTACGTGGATAATAGACGGCAAGTAGACATGGCTAGCGTCAGCTAGTTCCTCTTCTGTAAATCCGGCCGCGTGTACGTCACCGCCGCGACGCCGCTGGCTGTTATCCCGGTCAGACAGCGCAACGTTGATTCGACGGCGTTGAATTAACCGTTGAGGGTTGAATTAACGTTGATTCAAGCAACCGTTTCATCGTGACCATCTCTCAGCGTGAAATCAACGCTATTGTTCTGACTGACGCGAATACGAATTCTCCCGTCGCCGTCGGCGCCGTCGACACGCAATTTCGTAAGAATCCGAATCGCGCGACTCGCGAGCGGGAAGCTGAGGATTTAATCGTTAGCCGAGCTCGACCTCGCGGTGTCGAAGGGTAGGCCCGATATAGCCGGCAGCATTGACCGATATTGCTGTTGCTAACGGCACTTTGCGCGATCTTAACTACGCTGATCGTCCCATCGGCGCGCAAAAACGGCCTGCAAATTGTCGCCGACGAGGCTCGCTCTCTCTCTCTCTCTCTCTCTCTCTCTCTCTCTCTCTCTCTCTCTCTCTCTCTCTCTCTCTCTCTCTCTCTCTCTCTCTCTCTCTCTCTCTCTTCTTCCTCATCGATTGTCACCACGGGGGTCGACAACATGACCCCCGGGTCGTGCTGATGTTATATACGGCACAATTGGCCGCGTGGACACACGCCGTAGCGTAGTGTCCAACGATATTGCGTAGCGTGGACGTTTGTCACTGTCAAAAGATGACATGAGCGTCCGGGAAGGCGGCGTATTCATGTATCATAGATAGGATTGCCAGGTAGCCTTGATTTCCGAGATTGTCCCGGAATTTCAGTCTTTTGTCCCGGAAACTCAGAATTTCCCTCAAATTATAATCATAATATTTATGTTTTTAACCGACACCAGAGAGGAATGTGAGAGCAATCATTGGGATTTATTAATATGATCGAGATATTTGACGTGCCACCTGAGAAACCATTCGTGTGGTAAAAGAAAAAACAGAAAAGGTCAATCGTGTGATTGATGTCTAAACTTCTCTCTTTTGGTATCTTTCGCACATTTATTCGTTGCAAGTGTGAGCAACGACATCTCTTAACCCTCTCTGTCTTACCCCCCTCTGTCTGTTGAATTTAACTAAAATTCCCCAACAACCTACTTTTCAACCTAAAAAATGTCCCGGAAATAGTCGTTTTGCATCTGGCAACCCTAATCACAGATGATTGTCCGCGCGTCGAAAACACCTCGGCTGAATTGCCAGACGAAAAGCTGCGCGGCTCCCAGCCGCGGACACGTGCGTTGTGAACTGCGCGAGTGATCGGGTGACACAGATTCGGCGGGTCGATCGCGTTTCGTTCGTGCCGATGTTCCTCCTTCCTCTTTCTCCCTCACGTTTGCGCGATTTTTCGCACTTCCGCACCGCCGCGGCGGAAGCGCCGGCGGAGGGAAACGCGAACGGGAGGGGGGAGGGGGGGGTAAACATCCCAACGAGCGGCACTCCAGGGGGATATAACGATTATTTATTAATTATCACCTATCATCGATTCACTTCCGATCCTCACGCGTCTCAGTCAAAATTCGGTGAAAAACCCAGCGAGAGTGCCGGAAATGGAGAGTGCGGAATCGGTCGGCAAAGGACGTCGGCGGCTCACACTGGGGCCAGATGACATTCTTTGGTTGAAAATTCTTTAGAGACCTGAATTTCCAACCGATCATCGACACCAATGGATGAGGTTGATCCTGAATAAATTCCGAAGAGATTTGCCTTGCCAGAATTTAAAAAGAAATTTTTTTCTCGAATTACTAGCCGCAAAAGAGGAAAAATTATCGTTAAACGCGAGAAACTTGTGAAATACTCATTATTCGAAATACTTATTTCCATCTAATAGCGTATTCAGCGAATTGAAACTACGAAACCAATCAACAGACACCTCGAGATTTATCGATCTTGAAGCAGAAACCCATTAACCACCCAAAACTCACATGCCCAAAATACAAAAACATCAAATATAGACTCGTTAAGCACAAAACCGAGAGATTTTGAGTCTTAAGCCCATCAACCTACGAATCTATCAATCCGAGAACTTTTTAGCACGTGGATGCATGAAGCCGTATACATTAAGAGCCCCAAATAGTCCAAGAACCCAATCTAGCCATAGCTCGAGAACCTAATAATACTCGACGTTGAATATTCAGCTGTAAAACATTAAGTTCGAGCCTCGAAACTTTTAAGACAAACCCTAAACCCATGAGACCTGAAGCGATAATTTTTTCAAAATTTCGGCTAGACAGATCTCTTTGGAATTTATTCAGGATCAACCTTATCCATTGGTGTCGATGATCGGTTGGAAATTCAGGTCACTAGAGAATTTTCAACCGAAAAATGTCATCTGGCTCCACTGTGCGGCCGGGCGGTCGCTCGAGGACTCGCGCAGGACCAGCGAAAAAACGAGCACACTCGGGCAGCTAATTTGAATAACGTCGAGGACAGTTCGCCGCCGTCTCGCGCCATTGTCATCCGAAGCGGAGGCAGGCCGGTCACTCGCACGACGAGTAATCCACGCAGCGCGTGGAGCGTCCGCGAGCGTCGCGCGAATCCTATCCGGGAGGAAATCACAAACGCCACGGGGTCCGAGAGGCGGACGACTCGGCTCTCTCTCTCTCTCTCTCTCTCCGAGTGTTTTCAAGTCGACGACGATGAGCACTTCCGGATCACGTGATCATTGAAACGGAGGGTGCGACATAATCCGCGGAGATGGTCGCCGCGGCGACAGCGGCGAGGCGAGGCTGCACCGCTCTCCGGAAGAGACAGGAGAGAGGGAGCGAGAGCAAGACAGGGAACAAAGTGCTTTCCTTGATTGCTGTTAACGAGAAGTGAGACCAACTGGAAGGTTGGTCCGGCAAATAGCGCTATGTGTTATTTCGTAGGCGGCTCGTATTTCAGATTGCGCCGCGCCATCGTGCCCTCGCGATCGACCGACGGATTCGGCCGCGTAGTCCAGTGAATCTTTTCGTAAACACGAAACACCGCCCGCTGTTTTGCCGTTCTAGCGTCATTCGCAGGTCTGTGCCGAGTGATCAGGTGAGGATACATCTCGTCGGCGACGGCAGCTGTCTAGTCAACTTCACCCTTTGTACCCTTTGTATCCTGAATCAATTTATCCGAGACCTCATTAATTGTTTTGTAATCAAAATAAATCTTATAGGAAAGTAAGTAAATTTTAGAATAATTTGGTGAGTAAATTTTAAGATAGTGCTGGTGCAAGCAGCGAGAGGAGTGTAGGATAAAACATGGAAAAAAAATTGAAAAACGTATGAGCGTTAACGAAAAGTGCTACTTTTAATTATCGTCAAGATACAAAGGATGCCGATGCCTCGTTGTCCGTCACCGTCGCGACGTCACATGTCTCTCTCTCTCTCTCTCTCTCTCTCTCTCTCTCTCTCTCTCTCTCTCTCTCTCTCTCTCTCTCTCTCTCTCTCTCTCTCCACGTCTCTCTTTCCACGTGCGTTATCGCACGAGTAACGCGCGATTTACGATTATTATCTTATTATTATTGAAACATCGTACGGATTGAAAGTTGACTTCTACGGTGGAACGTTTCTCCGAAGATGGCGGTGTCTTTCTCGGCTTTCCTCCGTGTCGATTACCCGTCTGCTAATTTACATGAGGACGGACGTTTGTCCCGGTTGTTTACGCAAGCGACCCTGAGATTTTGACACGCTGTTAAACCTTTGTTGCCCGGGCTTTTCCCCACGAGAGGAAAGTGTTGCGCTCACGTCGTCGGGTAGATTGGAAATTTCTCGTTCCGCTTCAATCGAATCTCCTTTCGCTCGAGGCACCCTAACGAATCTCTACATTGAGCGTTTCGACAGGCCCGCTGAGACTTCTCGAAATTAATCCACGACATTTTCGAATAATCACCGACGGAGCGACGCCACGATTAGCTGTCAAGTGGGAACATTCGGCAGAGGAGATTCGATCGATATTTGTTCGCTGACAATAACTGGCCTTTGTCCGAGTACACTGTATAGGAAAAGGGAAAAAATCCGTCGACGCCGGAGGTAGAGTGAGAACCGCGCTCTGCCATAGACACGAGAAAAAGGGGCAAGAGGGGGAGAGAGCTTCCCAGGATTTTCCGTTTTGCCGGCGTCTCCACGGCCATGCCGGACTCGGAGCGCGTTAAAATTATCCTCACGTTTCGCGGCGATATCGCGCCCCCCAATATAAGCGCAGCACTCGGCTAAGAAGGAGAGAGTGGGCGAGTAGATTAATTGACGAGATCGCGATTCTTCGTGGCCTTTGCGCGATTCTCGCGGCGCGGCGCGGCGCGGCGCGGCATTGTGAGTCGCGAAATAACGGAAGCCAACGCGACGCTTCGAGTGTAAACCGCCGCGATTACGCGAGCAGCTACGACTGAACTTACTTACCGCACTTGCGAGCCCACGCGCAAAGTTGGAACGGGAGCTTCAACGGCGGGCCAAAGTTTAAGCTTTGCGCGACGCGGTTTGCATCAAAGTTAATATCGCCGTTGCAACACAACTGAGGACGAAGCCAAATTTAAAAAGCCCGAGCTAAAATTAAATCATCCACGGGCGTCTCTCGCCGCGACGTAAATTGGAAGAAATGTCTCGCGGAGATGCACACGCATACGGTATTATGTAATTCCGGGGGAAAAATCTCGAATTAATAAAAATGCACACGCATCCGTCTGCCTGTGACGGCTTTCACATCCGCCTATGGGCGATACGTACGTCCATGCTGCTCGACAAAACGCCCCCACGTCGCTCTTTCTCTCTCTCTCTCTCTGCAAATTATTACTTCTCTTTGTGCCTGAAAAAGCGGCGAGATCTCGTAATTAATGCGATGTCGAGAGTAAATGGAAATGCATTTCGGCATTTCCCGTTGCGCGCGCGAACGTTGCGAGCGCGAATCGCTCGCTAAAACGGCCCCGACGGCGGCCGACGGACAGGCCGTAGCTTCATCTCCGCGCGCACGCCGGATATCAGCAGATATCGGGGAATCGGTAGTTCCATTTCCGCTACTCGCGGCTTCGCTTCATTAATTCGTTTTCTCTCGAGCGAATTTTGCAATCTCCGCTCCGCGCGAAATCCTGACCGTTCGGATCTCGACGCGCGAATTTCCGCGACGTGCCGGCGCGATAGGGAGACGGTCTGTCGTGTCGTCTCGGATACGATCGAAGTGTTCGCTCTCAAGTATACACTGACGGATGAAATGTCAATTTTACGCCTGAGAAACGCCCAGCACGCCGATACACTTTGAATGAAAATGTCTCATTTGTCGCACGTTGCTTATCGATCGACCGAGTGTGTTGATTAACTCGCGCATTCTTCTTTCGCATTCGTGCTCGCTGTTTTCACTCTAAATACGACGTAAAGACAATGAAAGTAATGAAAAGCACTCGGGGGAGAACCATTGAAAAATAACTGTCAAGCACTTGGTATATTCGCGGGACATTGTTGTGCGCGCGTTATCCAGCTACCTAATGCATTGAGAATAAAATGTTATTTCAATAAAATTCGGAGCGGACTCTCCGCGACGTTAAGTCGGCGCTACATTCGTAAGATGCACCACTGAGAAAACTGATGTTGCAGTCATAGCGAAAATTATCTAGATGCGAGAGAAATTAGCGAAAATGGCTAAATCACTGGCAAACATGTTACGATATCGCATATATTTTGTATCTGTAATATAAATGACGGAGACAGAATTTATGACTGACTGTTTGTCAAATTTAGCAAGAAAATCTCCAATCAAATTGTTATTATTATTATTATTATTATTTTCATTTAACGCAGTGATTTATATTTAGCTATGGAATCTAAATTTTCCTTAGCAAATATTGCTAGAAAGTTGTGATAAATTTTGTGCGCCGCGGACAATTTTCTAGCAGATACAAAAATCAGCGAAAGATTTTAGCTGTAACGTTTAGAATTCCAGCTGGACCAGCGAAACATTTTTTTCAGCAACTCATATCACTCGATTATGTCACCTTGTGAGAAACGACAGACGAATCACGCTTTGACTCCAAATACGACGTAAAAACAATGAAAATAATCAAAGGCACTCGGGGGAGAAGCTGAAATAACTCTCAAGGACTATATTCTTGTGTGCGGGACATTCTTGTGTTTTCCAGCTACCTGACGCATCGACAAAAAATGTTATTTCAATAAAATTCAGGATGGACCTTCCGCGACGTTAAGTCGCGCTACATTCAGATAAAAAGATGAGCACTATTGAGAAAAATGATCTTGCGGTCTTAGCACCGAAATTATCTGGGCACGAGAGGAAATTAGCTGAAATTTAGATTTAGCTGAAATGGCTGAATCGCTAGCAAACACTTATCGATATCGCGTATGTTTCGTATGTCTAACCGATATAAATCAGTGGTAATCTCGTCGGCCGGACGAAAAGTTGCGCGATACCGAAATCTGTGTGATTGCAGCCCCAAGTGCAGCGGCGAGCCCGAGGATCGCCGGCAGGACCCATGATGCTCGCGATCGCGTCCGCCGTCGCCATCGATTTCCCGCCGCCGATCGTCCTCCCGAGATATGCCGCGCGTTCGGCGCCTGGCAGCCGGCAGTGAAAATACGAACGGCAGCAGCGTTTCCGCGGAATCATGCGCGGTACCCCGGTAAAACGAAGCGCACGATGTCGCGCGTGACCTCGTCGGGGGCTACCGAACGATCGCTGGACGAAAACGCGGAGCAATGATGAGGAACACGTGGCCGGGGCTGGCGAGATCCGCGAGTGACAGTCGGGCGAGTCGCACGTGCGATCGCCGACACGTGTTGTCCGGCGGCGGTGGCGGCGGCGGCGATGGCGGCGGCGGCGGCGGCGGCGGCGGCGGGAGCGGCAGGTTGTTGCTTCGCATCGTCGCCTTGACCCTCTGTTGCGTCGTGGCGATCTGCGGCGACTCCAAGGACAGAACGGCGCGCGGGCTCAAGGATCTGCAGGAGGCCCTGAACAAAGCGTCGGCGATAGGCGAGTGCGACCTGGAGCCTAACTGCGACTGGAAGTGGAACAAAACCCGGGGCTTCGTGCTCATGCAGGCGCCGGCACGCAGCAAGTTCGGCCCGACCACGGACGCCAACAATTCGAAAGACGGTAAAGAGTGTTCCTCTCGACGACGCGCGAGCGCTCGGGTTATCGAGCGCGTTTTATCGGCGCCGCGCTGCTCAGTGCGGCCAGATGACATTCTTTGGTCCGAAATTCTCTAGAGACTTGAATTTCCAATCGATCATCGACACCAATGGATGAGGTTGATCCTGAATAAATTCCGAAGAGATCTGTCTTGCCAAAATTAAAAAACAAATTTTCTTCTCGAATACTAGCCGCAAAAGAGGAAAAATTATCGTTAAACGCGAGAAACTTGTGAAATACTTATTATTCGAAATACTTATTTCTATCTAATGGCGTATCGCAATCAGCGAATTGAAACTACGAAATCAATCAACAGACACCTCGAGATTTATCGATCTTGAAGCAGAAACCCATTAACCACCCAAAACTCACATGCCCAAAATACAAAAACATCAAATATAGACCCGTTAAGCACAAAACCGAGGGATTTTGAGTCTTAAGCCCATCAACCTAGGAATCTATCAATCCGAGAACTTTTTAGCACGTGGATGCATGAAGCCGTATACATTAAGAGCCCCAAATAGTCCAAGAACTCAATCTAGCCATAGCTCGAGAACCTAATAATACTCGACGTTGAATATTCAGCTGTAAAACATGAAGTACGAGCCTTGCAACTTTTGGGACAAACTCTAAACCCATGAACCCTGAAGCGGTAATTTGTTCAAAATTTCGGCTAGACAGATTTCTTTGGAATTTATTCAGGACCAACCTCATCCATTGGTGTCGATGATCGGTTGGAAATTCAGGTCACTAGAGAATTTTCAACCAAAAGATGTCATCTGGTCCCGCTGTGCGTCGAGTCGAAGCGACACAGCGAGAGCTTGTCACAGACAAGGTCATGGCGGCGGCTTTTAACCCCGTGTGCTGCGTGCACGCAATCTAATCGGAGCCGGAGAGAAGCCGATGATTGCTTCGTCTCGACGCGACTTCGATTCTTCGCGACAGCAAGTCGATGGACGTTTAATTGGAACGCGTTGCGAGGAGGATCGAGCCGCGAGCACCTTCGCCGTGGCGGCAGTCCCAGCAGTCGTCTGTGCCCGCGTACTAACCCTGCACGAATCATGTGGGGTAAATCAAGCCCAGTGGCTTGGTGTTGAGACCCCTTGCTGCACCACGAGCAAACGAAACTTGCAATCCGCCTGAATTCGGGACAAAGCGCGAAGAGAGATCACCTCCATTTGAATTTCGAAAAGATGTCACTCTCTTGTCTCCCAGCACGATGCAAGACTCGGGCCGTGACTTTTGTTCCTCCTGCTTCGCGGAGGGTTAAGCTCGTATTCTGTCGACGGAGCCTGCTGACGTAACTTGACGGCAGAAACCGAGCGGGATCTGCGCCATTTAACGTTCCCTTTACCGTAACCCGTAACTGACGCCCCGGGGTTCCAGTGACCCCGTACTACAGTTTTACGATTTCCCATGCTACCCGTTGTGCAGGCACCGATACATTCCGATTGTCTCTCTTTTATGTTGCGCAAGTTGACTGAAGGCCATATGACCCCATTGTACAGGCAGAAAAGGCATTGTACGGGTTACGCTTCGCGATGGTTGCTGGTCAATTCTTGCTCGGAATCTCTGCCATCAATCTGCCAGCCAGCGCGTTCCGTTGTATTTCTGCTGGTAGACGGCATTTTGGCTATCCGGGTTAGTCGAGAGAAGTTTTCTCCCGTAGGCCACAGATTCCGTTCGTCGTATGTCGTATTCTCACTCGAAGAAGCTCGCGTCGACCTTAGCTCGGGATTTACGGGGAGAGATTTCCAGGATCGACCTGATATGCCTAACCTGTAATCTGAAGTGTGTCCGATGAAATTAATTCGTTCTCCCTCACTTGCCTCCCTCTCTCCCTCGCTCGCTCGCTCGCTCGCTCGCTCGCTCCCTTGCGCCCTCAAGGCCACTTTTTGTGGTACAACGGCAGCGGGACGGCTCAAATGTGGTCCCCGCGGATCTCCTCCACGAGTACACGCTGCACCCTCGAGTTGTGGATGCACCAGGTGGCGATGGAGGACGGGGCCATAAATCTCGTGATAGACACCAACAACGTGAGCTCGGTGACGGAGGAGAAATACGGAAATAATAACGCTAGGTAAAACGAGACACTCGCGCTGATATTCTCAACACCGAGGCGACTGGAGGCAAAGACTCTGACTCTGCGATTCTGCTTTGTCGTTTCAGGTGGGAGAACATGCGTTTCTTCCTGGGCGCGATCAGCCAGCCCTACAAGCTATTTTTAGAGATACTCTTGCCGTACGCGAACTCGAGCGTCGCCGTTGACAACGTCCGTCTGGTCAATTGCTTTCCAGGTACTCACCTTCGCGAAGCACAACCGCACGGAAAAAGAAATATCAGTTCTAAAGTGCGACTAAATAACGCTCGCTCGCTCGCGCGCGCGCGGAAGCTGCCGCTTCCGGTTGATACTTCTGCCCGCGCAGCTGATTGAATTAGCGAATTTGCTCCTCCTGCTTCCGCCGGAGAAAACATTCAGTCGCGGCGGAACTGTTCTTCTCTCTCCGATGCGAGGATCAGTCAGTTAGGTGTGCCGCGTTCAATCGAACCGTCGCGTCGCTCATATATTGAGAGAGAGAGAGGTTCGATTGAACGCGGCACACCTAACTGACTGATCCTCGCGTCCGCTCTCCTCTCGTCACCTAGATTCTACGCTGGGCGCAGTCCTCTGCACGGACAACATGTTCCGCTGCAAGAACGGCAGCTGCTTGAGCAACATCCGCATCTGCGACTTTATCAAGGACTGCCCCGACGGCGAGGACGAGACGTCCGAGTGTGGTGCGTAGATTCAAAATGCCTTTGTATCCGCGGTGTCGAGTATCGATGCATCGATTCGCCCGCGGGGTGACGATCTGACGATCCCCCCTGCGCTTGTCGTAGACAAGCTGTCCGAAAAACTACGCCTCTCGAACGGAGGCTGACGCACTGAAATCTGAGTGATTCGCGAAAATGCCGTAGACAAGATTCCGGAGAACGCGAGGTGCAACTTCGAGGACGGCTGGTGCGGTTGGGCGAACGTCCCCGAGAGACCTCTGAATTGGAGCCTGAGGAGCGTCTCCACGGACAGAGTCGGTCCCGCTTACGATCACACCTACGGCAATAAGACAGGTCGGCGGACCAAGTCGCGCCCGGCTGGGGCGCGATGCGAAGTATATTAAGTGACGAGAAGAAAGTTCGTGCGGTTTCATGCGACGAGTTGTCGAATCTTGCAGAGCGCGCGTGCTTTATGCGCATCGTATAGCACAAATTTTCGTAGCGTGGTCTCTTTTGCTCGGTGATTACTCATTCTTTTAAAACTCTTCTTCTGTCGAGTCGAGCATGTTCGCTTTACGAATTTAAATTCGAAATCTGCAGAAATATGTATCGTAAGACACGCGTAGCGTTTGGAGAAGATGTTCTACAAAAAAAGAAAAAAAAAAACAAAAGCGGACACTGCGTAGAAGTGGTTTAAAAAATTTTCCTCCGGCGATGAATCGCCTCGAGGATGTTCAGAAAGAGCATCTCCGGTTATTGATAACGAAGAGTTCTCAATTATTTCATATCATGTGTCAATTGTTACATATATTTGTATATCAATTATAATTATAATATGTCTTCTGAAAGTTTCCGTCCTTGCCTAATTTCTAATACACAAAAACCGCACGAATTTGTTTGGTTGCCCGATAACATCATCGCGATTTAACGCGACGACCGACGACGACGAGTAACGGGTTGTCGGCTGTCCACCCGGCAGGGACGTACGCGTACGTGGAGATGTCGAAGCGCGTCGAATACGGCAGCCGCGGCACCATCGAGAGTTCTCTGTACAACCCGACACCGCCTTACAGCAGCGACATCAAGAGCCCGTATTACCAATCGTGTCAGGTGCGTCCGCGATCGCTCTGCAAGGCGTTCAGCACGCTAACCAGCGCTAACGCGAAACACACGAAACGCTTTCAGGTGCGCTTCTTCTTCCACAAGTACGGCCTGCACAGCTCGTCCCTCGCGCTCTACATGGTCCAGATGAAGCAACACGGCAATCAGTCGAGTATGCTGTGGTGGTCCTACGGGAAGGGCAACAGGATGTGGGAGAACGCGGTCGTCGCCCTGCCCGCCATAAAATGCAGGTGGGTGCGAAAGTTGTTGAGAGAGAGAGAGAGAGAAAGGGGGGGAGAGAGAGAGAGAGAGAGAGAGAGCCCACGACTTGGGCATCTCGAGTTTGCCGGCGCAGCACGTCGAATTTTCGAGAAGAACAGCGAGAAACTGGGTCTCTCCGATGTGCGTTCGCAGGTACTTCTTGCAGTTCGAAGCGAGCAGGGGCTACTCCTCCAAGAGCGAGATAGCGATCGACGATGTTTCCTTGAGCCGAGAGTGCTTCGGCATCGGTAAGCCCAACGATTATCTCTACGTGTTGTTGCTTCTCTTACATGCCGCTGGTTATACTCATGCGATACTCATGCTCTTCCTCTCGCAGGAGTGCCGCCAGAGATCGTAGGCGACTTCAACTATTACAACCCCAATATAGAACTCGAGACGGTGCCGCCGCAGCATCCGGAATTCGGGAACGAGACAGGTAGGTGTGAGACGACGAGCATCGACGAGCACAAACCTCACTCGAATGAGTTGAACTTTCGAGCAAATAGAGATGTGCGAGAACTATTCGAATTCGAATCGGATCGAATCGAATTACATTAGATTCGAATCCGAATTCCTATGATTCGAATCTAAATAATTCGAATAGGAATCAAATAAATTATACGTTTGCGTGCGTCAACAACGCGGCTACAAAACGGGCCAAATCTGGGCCTGTATGTTTGTACCCTTAACTTGTGATTGACTTAATTTATAATTAATAACTTAATTATAAATTACTTTAATTATTTAAATATATATTTTACTTTAAAATGATATTACAATATCAATATTCCCTTCCATATTAAAATCTTCCATCATTATGCGTGCATGTTTAACAGTCATGTCAAAATTTTTTAATGATTCCATTCGATTTTGATTCGATTCGATGCGAATTCGAGTAAAATTTCACAGACTCGATTCGATTCGACATAAAAATTCTTGATTCGCACACCTCCACGAACAAACGAAGAATCCTCCGTCCGTCGACCTTGCCGACAATCTCAGTGCTAGTCGCTCGTATCTGTCTACGAAGATCTTCGCAGACAGGTCGCTAGAACAGCTAGCAGATAGTCGGTGAAGAAAGCACCGGGTAACTCGCGTTAAGCCGCCCGTTCACCACACTCATCCACATCATCGATCACCGATCTCTTCCGTGCTGCTTCAGTCATCCGAATTACCAGCTGCGGGGCCACCGGCAGGACAGGTCCGACCGCTGAGCAATGCGCCGAGGAGTACAACGGCACCGACGTGGAATTGATCGTGCCGTCGTCGTTACCGGATCAGGAGGTCACGTCAGGAGCCCACAATCTGAGCGGTATGCAACGGTGGACCGCGCCCCGCGGCGAATACTACACGTTAGTACGAACAAGAGAGGGCAGCGTGTTTTGGCCAACGCCAAGCGCGGTTTAACGCCCAACGGACAAATCGATCGTCTCGGACGAATTGCAGGTCGAATTCTCGCGCGATACATACGCAGCTATTAGAGATACTTGAACGTCGGGGCGTTTCGGAGGGCGGGGGGGGGGAGCTTCCGCTCCCACCGCGAAATGTAGAGGTAGACCTGCAATTTGGCGTCCTTTTCCCTCGGACTCGGAGCGAGTCTAATAATTCTCATTTCGGATGGTTCATACTTGGACTGAACTGAATTTCTGGATTTCTTCAAACAGCTTGATCGTCGTCGGGGCGCGCGGCGGGATGGGCTCCGGCGGTATGGGCAGCACCTTCGGTGCTCTCGTTCGCGGTGTGATCGAGCTGCAGAAGGGCGACCAGCTGTACTTCATGGTGGGTCAAGAGGGAACGGACGCGTGCGCCAAGGTGAGCGGCAACGGGATATTAGCCGCGATTCAAGCCGCTGAATCTTATACGATAATCTCTCACACGTCGTCTTCATCGTCATTCCAGAGCCTCGGCATGAGGGAGACCTGCCGGTCGCCGGATGAGTCCCACCGCTCATCTGTGTCGTCCAGCACCTCGGCGAAGGTGCGAGAAGTGAAGAAGGTCGTGTTCAAGTACGGTGGCGGTGGCGGCGGTGGCGCGACTGCAGTCTTCATGGTGAGCGCCCTTTCTCTTCTTCCGATGGTAACAAGTGATATCGTCGCCTCATGCGACCATTTGTTGACTCTGAGATTTCATTTGCGACTTTGACCAATCGGCCGATCGGCAAAGATCGCAAATCTCATGTCGCGATCATGTCGCCACGAGACATCATGTGGGTCGAGATATCTGACGCACGATCGTAGTTGAAGGCAAACGGCGAGCTGGAGCCTATCATGATCGCGGGCGGCGGCGGCGGTTTGGGATCGGGCCAGTTCAAGGATGACGGACTCCAACATGGACGCGGTCCCGTTCCCGGGGGGAGACTCCTACCTTCCTCGTACGAAATTGCCGAAGGCACTGGTAAGACGAGTCGAATCGAAACGGGAGGACGTATATCCGAGAGTGACGTGTCATTCTCTTCGCAGGCGGGCCTGGGGCGAGCTGGAACGGCCAGTGGACCAATAGTACCAATCATCAGAATGCCGCGGGGACACCGCTGCTTCGCGGTGGCTCGGGAGGTCTCGGCTGCGAGCCGGGGGAGCAAGGTCACAGTAACGGAGGCTTCGGCGGCGGCGGCGGCGGTTGCCAGACCGGAGGCGGCGGCGGCGGTTACATCGGTAAAAAAATAAAACGCGAATGGTCGAACGATTCTGAGCGTATCCGAGCGAGTTCTGAGAAAATATCACCTGGCGAAAATTAGAATTTCCCAATCAACCAACATGCTTCACGAGACTCGTCATCCTTCCGTTTCGCGCGCGCTGTTCATAATATCCCAGCCTGATGTTGAGAAATTGGCAGGTGATCGACGGCCGATCTCGCCTGTCGGTCTGAATCCGTCGTCGGATTACGTCACCGTCACGACTACGTGTTCATCCGCAGGTGGCAACTCCGGCCGCAAGCCGTCCGGCAACGGCGAGGGTGGCTACTCGTACATCAGTCAGCGACTCACGGACGTCTACTTCAAGGAAGCGGCTCACTACGGCCCGGGCGAGGTCTTCATCATACCGGCGATCAGCGGCTGCAGCTGCGACTACCGCTGCGTCGTTCTCGACCAATATCTGAGCGAGGTCAAGTGCCTCTGTCCTCAGGGCTGGTTACTCGGCAACGACTCCAAGTCCTGCATCGGTGAGTACAACGCTCCCAATTCCACGTTCCCGCTCTAAGTCTTCCTGTAAGTTCGTCCCAGCCGCGCCTTTGTCCTTCGACTTGCCCGCTCTGTGTGTTCACCCTCCCCTCCCCTCCTCGCCCGTCCGTGTCCGGTTACGCGTGTACATCCCATTTCATTTCAAAAATGGCAATTGCTAATGAGTGTTAAATAAACGGACCTTGACGCCACGAACAAACGAATAATGGGGGACTGTGCGAACTACCAACGACCCGATCGATCGTCTTGAATTTCAGTGACCGACGAGTCGAAGGGTGTACACTCGACGTACATGATCCCGCTCATAGTCGTGAGCAGTCTGCTCGTCATCGTCGGAATCGGCCTAATACTTTGTAAGTACGCCCCGTCTAGAGGGATCAGACCCTCCCTCCCCCCCCTACCCGCTCGTGAGAGCGAAAGCGCTGACCGCTCGGGTGCCTCCTTCCTCTCTAGATTTCTCGTTGAACAAACGCTTCCAATGCAAGAAGGCGCTTCTGCATCGCCGCCAAATGATACTCGGCAACGGCACGGAGTTGACGGCGCTGCGCGCGATGTCGGGCACGTTGATAACCGAATTCAACCCCAACTACGAGTTCGCCGGCAATCTCTACAGTTTCAAGGACTTGCCGCAGATACCCCGCGAATGCATCTCCCTGACGAGGTTGGTACGAGTGTGTTCGGGACTCGCGCTTCGCGAGATCGCGAGATCGGGTGGAAGGTGTTGGTTTCACTCTGGTAACTTGGAAGTCGCGAGTCGAAACTCGAGCTCGATCTCGAGACCGATCTTGTTTGTTTTCTTCCTCCCAATGCAGGCCTCTCGGTCAAGGTGCCTTCGGCGAGGTTCACGAGGGCCAGTACAAGTACAGACGCGGCCAGCACCCGGTCGCGGTGAAAACGCTGCTGTCGCTGTCCACGCCGCAGGCGGAGGCTGACTTCATGATGGAGGCGTTGATAATGAGCAAATTTAATCACACTAATATCGTGCACTTTATCGGGGTCTGTTTCGACAAACATCCCAAGTACATCGTCCTCGAGTTGCTGGCCGGCGGTGACCTGAAGAACTTCCTGCGCGAGGAAAGGCCACGACGAGTGAGCACATTATTGTTACCGTATCTATCGTTCATTTTCATCAGCCCGGTTTCTTTCTCCCGCCGGTCGATATCGCGACTGCCGGAAGTCCGAAGTTCACGGCGACTAGTTGCAGCACGCGCGTCGCGCGTTTGTGTCGTGTATCATTGTCATGTCTCATTGTATCTCGTCTCTCGACAGGACCGATCTACAACGTTGACGATGCGCGACCTCGTGATGTGTAGCTTCGACGTCGCAAACGGCTGCAAATACATGGAGGAGACGCGCTTCATACATCGTGACATCGCCGCTAGGAACTGCCTGTTGACCACCAAGGGTCCAGGGCGCATCGTCAAGATCGCGGACTTCGGCATGGCGAGGGACATCTACCGGGGCGATTATTACAGGAAAGGTGCCGGGACGGTGCTGCCCATAAAGTGGATGTCGCCGGAGAGCCTCTTCGACGGCATTTACACCACGAAGAGCGACGTCTGGTGAGATTACGCTTCTACCACGACCTCGTTCATAGATGAAGTGACTCCCTACGACTATTGAACTTTATCCGCGCGATCGCCTCTCGCCTCGAGAGCGAAGATCTCTCAGACGCGAGATCTCCGCTCCGCGAGTTCTCCCGGCTGGTCGATCGCGAGATGTAAATGTCACTCCGAATACACAAGGAAGATCTCTTAGGTCCTTCGGCGTCCTCCTATGGGAGATCATGTCGTTCGGGTACACACCCTACATAGGATGCGGGAACCACGAGGTGATATCGATGGTGAAGACCGGCGGTCGGCTGGAAAAACCCGTAGGATGCCCGGACCCGATTTACGGGATTATGATGAAGTGCTGGCGCCCTCAGCCCGACCGTAGGCCGAGTTTCTGCAACATTGTCGAGAGAATCGGTTACTGTCTGCAGGTGAGCAGAACAACCGAGAGCTCGCGAGCGTCGCGAAGCGCCGCGGCGATTCTATTCTACCGGAAGAAAACACTGATAATCTCCTTCTTCTTTCTCATCACGTAGGACCCTGACGTAGTGTGCGAGCCTACGCCCAAGTACGACGTACTCCCCACTGACGAAGGCGAAATGACCATCTGGCCGGACCCGGAGGCGGAATGCATCAATATGCAGTCCGACGTGAGTACAGTAGCTCCGGTAAAGTAGCGCGGGAGTGTCATACTTCCGCGCGAGGAGTGTAAAGCCTTCCAGTACGCGTGTCACGCGGTACTGTCGATAGCGTACGATTCGATTATCCGACAGCTGGACGGATGCGGCTACGTGCGGCCAAGGGTCATCGATCCGCGATCTGTGGCGCACCACATGAATCAAGCCGTGGGTGTCGTCACTTACGACGCGGAGACCGAGAAATCGAACGGGAACGACGAACCGCGCTGCAAGGCCTTCGCGAAGTCGGCGGAGTGCCGGCAGAGAAAGTTCGGTTGCAACGCCTACGACTCCATCACGGACAGCTTCAAGCGAGGCTACAACGCCGACGATCACAACGACTGCGGAGCCGACGTTATCGGAGAGTGCAAGGTAACTATGAAGATGCTTCTATCATTTTGATTGTATCAACTTCGCTTCGAATCAAGCTGTGTGGAAATATACACAGCACAGGGTGATTCGTTAGAATGTACGTCGAGTCTCGGTTAATTCAATTCCACGGGAAAAACGTCAGAGATGAAGGTTGTGTCGCGGAAAATCGAGGTATCTTTGAAACTATGCATTTTCTCAACATCTTGCCCCGATACTTGCGCAACGGAATAATGGGAAGAATGAATTGACGTGAAAAGATGTAGGCAGTTTCGTGAGGAAGCGTCGAACTCTTCAAAACACCTCCGCATTCTTGAGCGCAAACATTCCGCCGCGGGTAATCTGTGTCATTCGAGAAGGCCATCAACTGCTGCGGCTGACGGCAGATGATTTGATGCCACCTCTCGTCTGCGATGATGATACCAAATGAACATGCGCGATCCGCAGGGCAGACATCGAGCCGACCTGTCGAATCGACCAGACCTGAGGACGATACATCGAAGCGAAAACATCGAAGAGCGCGACAACCGGATCAATGAAGAGAACGGCAACAACCGTCCAAAGGAGGAGGGAAAGCAAGAAGAGGAGGAGGAGGAGGAGGAGGAGGAGGAAGAGGAAGAGGAAGAGGAGGAGGAGGAGGAGGAGGAGGAGGAGGAAGAGGAGTGTCACATGACTGCCAATACCGATAGCGCGATGACGGATCGCAGGAACGGCAATGAGAGTACAACGACTACCGACACCAACTCCGACTCCCTGATCGTGCAGTCGTCCGACACCCCGCCAAACACGACAACGAACTCGTCGCCCAACACGCGCACCTGTTCGCCGAGTCGCGTCATCGGCCTCAACTATGCGAACGTCAACAACGCGAACGGCGTGGTGAAGAAGAGCACGCTGAAGGCGACCCTGAGTCTCGACCCGAGCGCTCTCTACAGAGGCGCCATCCCCTACGATAAGATCACCAGGCATACGCAACGCTCCAGCACGCCGGGCAGTATGGAGCTAAGGAAGGTAACTTGACCTCCTCCTCTCCCTCCTGCACCCCGTTTCCACCCGTAGGTGACCGAGGGTCGTTGATCGAGGGTACTCGATCGAAGGCTAAGGGTGACCTTCGGCAAACTCCGATTAAACTGACCGACGATGAACCGACGAGGAATCGCCAACGACCATTTCCTTAACGAAGGAAAAAAGCGTTGATTGTTCTGTTAATGTCGGCGCAAAAGAGTTGCAACAATCTAGCTTTCTCGGGCGCCAACTTTCTCACGTGTGAATTCCTCGATCACAGTTTAATCACGTTCCTCCGAGAGAGGGAAGGATTTCGGAGACATGTAGCTTTCGAGAGAGACTTCCGCTAGTTTCTGTCCAAGTCGAACGAGTCCAATTCAAGCCTAAGACAGTTCTGGAAGAGCGGTCACATGTTGCGATGTTCGCGAGATTCAGTGAAGACGCGGCCACTTCTCTTCCACTTCTCGTCTCCGGCGTGAGTTCTTTGCCCTCTTTTTTTCACAATATCCCCGTTCTCTTTCCGGGCTCGAAGGACTCCCTGAGCCACGAGTTACCGCGGGAGGAGGAGTGCTCCTGCTGAGACTTATCCGAGGGGGGTTGACGAGGCTCCTCGAAGATCGCAGCTGTGGCCGCGCTCAACTGCAGCGCCGCTCGACGAATGCAGCTGCAACGTTCGGCCACGACGACTGCGGTTACGACGGACACGCAACTCGTGGAACTCTCCTCACCGCTGTGGGCCTACGACAACGAATACTCACGTCGTTTCTACTCCGAGGAGACCCTACTGTGAATCGCAAACCGGGAAGTACCCATTCGCCCCGTCGTAAAGAGCGCCTTCCGCTAGCGCGACCCTCGCGATTCCAACCGCGACTTTTTGCGCGCGAGCGAAGGAGAAGAAAACGGTGGCTCTCTCTCGCGCGCGAATCAACGGCACGGGATTGTCACGGGGGGAAGGTTGACGTAGGTTTAGGCCGATCATGTACATACAGAGGAGAGAAGAGATACTAAAATACGTAACACACTTGTATTCAAACGCGTCGCGCGTCGAGAGATCACTTCGTCGAGCTTATACTGTAAGCTTCCCAATTCCACGATCACGATCAGCCGATGACGATGTGGAATGGCGAAATGTCAAACTCCGGAGAACGTCTCGTACTCGCGGGTAGGCGCGTGACTATGACGAGCGAAGCGAGGCTTACTGTACGAAAATACCGCGCGACTGCTTTCGGTTTAGAACAGTGAGAAACTTGACGAGAGAAGGAGAGAGAGAGAGAGAGAGAGAGAGAGTCATGTATCGCGCGAGATGTACACAGGTGTATTCGACGTGTGTGAAACTCTAACGCGAGTAGTTTTGTCTTCGAAATAAGGTATTCCCGCGACCGAGGAGAAGGTGACCGTGTCGTCTAAGTAACGCCGGCTCGATCGTTGGTGAGTTAATTGTGTATTCGGATCGACTGGGTCGTCCGAAAAAATGTGTCATGGTTGTCGAGTAAAATATTATACCGTAATACTTGGTGTCAAAGTCTCTCCGTAGGCTGGTCGTCTACTTCGTGACTCGTCTCTGCTCGGAGAATCTCAATAACGTGAACTCGATCCTCTCGTTGTACACCATCGCAGCGTTTTGCAGAGCGGACGAGTGGACGAGTGAACGAACGAACGGACGAGCGATCGAAATTATATATCGTAGGAGGGGTGAGTGGGTGGGCGGGCTGTGGATTGGAGTTAATAAAAAGAGCACGAGCCCTTTTTTATTTTTCTTACAACGACGACGTACTTTACGTGCGCGTAGCGTATGAAAGTCAACCACTATGTATCTGTAAGTGAAATACGTAATAAAGGCGTGTTTGTGGAAAGGAGGGCACTTCACTGTGTTCCCACCCCGAAATGTCGTCTCGCTCTGCGACTCGCAGATCGGATCACCTAGGGAGCTTCCGCTTTGGACAAGAGTGTCCCCAAATAATTATTGCGGCCCGAAATGTCGCATTAAAATTGCATTAGTATATATCGACGGGGAATAGTCGGAGAAAATTGATTTATCAATAAATCGGCAAGCGCGTCAACGTGCTTATCAACGTGCCGTCAACAATAGATGGCAGGTAATGAGTGGAAGTAATAAAAAAAGTCTCGATTCAGTCTCACTCTTCTTTGACTACGTCTTCACCCGCGCGTAGTTCATAAGAAAGTCAAGCACTAAACATCTGTACGTGGAACGTAATAAAGGAAGAACGCATTGTTATATTCTCTTACTCTGGAACGCCGCCTCCCTCTGTGATTCGCAAATCAAATCAACTAAAGATTCTCCACTCTAGACCCGAACCGCGATCCGAACTTGCAAAATTACATTTATCGATACAAGAACCAGTCATTGTAGAAAAAGAATCAAAAAATATTCCATCGTCTGTCGTATTCTTTTTTCTCTCTCTCTCTCTCTCACTCTCTCTCACTCTCTCTCTCTCTCTCTCTCTCTCTCTCTCTCTCTCGGCCTGGCAGTCATCGAGATTGCCAAAATTGCGAAAAATCGGTAGACTGCTTAATTACGCATCTTTGGCATCGGACGACGACGTCGATGTGACATCTTGGGAAGCTTCGTAGTTTTCCCAGCAAACGTCGACGGCCGGCTATATATACACCTATGCACACGCATATGCGGTCGTAGATAAGCACAAAGGCAGAGTGCCGACAAGCGTAGCGCACACACACATACACACGCGGCCGACACGCAGCGAGGGAGAGAAGAGGGTGCAGTTGTCGGACGACAATTCGAGCGCGGTGGTCGTGGATGAAAATTCGCGCGCGCTTTTCCCGCATTGTGTGCGTGCCGACTTGACTCGCGGCTCTTCTCCTCGAGACTGTGTGCGTGTCACCTCGACTTTCGCTTGACGATGCTGAGTTACTCGTACTACTACGTGAAAACCATCGTCGAGGGCGGCCAGCCGCCGAAAACGTATAAATTCGCGAAAGGGTAAGCGTCTTAATCCCGACACGACGTGTACGTCCGCTCGCGGTAGCTGGCGAAAGTGAATGCCGAAACGCGCGCGGAGTCACGTGCGGAACGCGTAAACGCGTGTTTCGATCTTTTTCATTTTCGTTTGAAAGGTCCCCTCTCGGCCCCCCGCGAGAGGAGGGACGTATGCGCGAAGTGTCTGCGGGAATTTATGTCCACCTCTCGTTAAACGTAGGAGGAGACAAAAGGAGAGTATCGCAAAAGCGTGAATTTTTCTTTTTCATATACACCGTGGCGGAAAACGACACATTTTTCTCTGCCTAGATATCCTGTGCAATCGACCAAAGGCGCGTGGTCGACGGTGGGTCGCTATAATCTTCTCTCACGACTGCTACGAGGAGGACTCTCCGGCTCCGGCGATGTGTACCATCCTGCTAATACCACTTTCAAGGTTCGTTATTGCGCATTGCATCGCCGTCGTCGGTGAAAACGCATGATTTGATTTTCACGAATTCTCTCTCTTCCTCTCTCAACGTGAGTCGCGAAGGACGAATCCTCGAGGGATTTCTTTCTCTTGCGCAGATCCTTCGAACGCAGCTGGAATTTATCCGCTCTCTCTCTCTAATGGGGTTTGTTCCGCCGAACGTTGAGCGTGGCTAATCCGAAAGGATTTTCCACGCGCGACTCCCGGTGCGTCGGCTCGGTGCAACACCTTCGGCCTGTTTTCGCTCTTTCATGTTTCCCGGCTCGCTGAGCGACGACGAACATTCCGCGCGAGCCGCGCGCGGTCGACGACGCGGCGCGCGGCGACTAAAGCTCCGAACTTCGCGCCGCGCCTCTCCCGTAATCGCGTGCGCGCGTTCTCGTCGGCAGGGAGCATTTTTTCGGGCTCTCGCCCTTGGCGCACCGCCAAATTCACTTTTAAACGTCAAACAAACCCCCTCGCGTGCGAGAGCATGCGGCGGCTCTAATATCTGCCGTCGACATATTTTTAGGACCGCCGCGCCGCCGCGTCTCCAAGGCTCTTCCCTCGCGCTCGCTCCTTGCCCGCGCGATATTTACACGACTTTGATTTCGCACGAACCCCTTGATACCACGACGATCCGCCGACTTACGGGATTCCCCGGTCTTACGGACTCCCGTCGGGACGACGATCCGTCTTCGTTGATGGCCCGGTTAGTGGAAGAATCTCGCTCGGAAATTACGGGCGGTTTGTTTCTGTGTTGCCATTATACTCTTTGAGTTACTTCTTAAGTCTTCTTAAATCTCTCAACTTCGATCTTGGGCGGGAGGGGGGATTTCGATCAAAGTAACACGTCTCTTTGGGGCTGTCATTAGAAATGAGATAAATTGCGTTAAAGAGACTTTCGCGAGTGGGATCGTGATGAAAGGATAATGGAGAATCGGAAAATGGAGACTCACACATGCGCGCGCGTGTGTAGGTATGTGTGTGTTAGTGATAAATCGGAAAGAATTTGTAACGGCGCTCTTTTCGACCGATACCGAGTTTGACGCATCGAGTTTACGTATTTTGTAGGCATTCATACGTCGGTTACGTTCAGTGGCCATTAAATATTGTCAACCGTTGGCGAATAATGTTGCGAAATGGTGTTTCATCTCCGCCGCGCTTCTTCTGTTCCGCAGCCAAGGATTGCACGTTCGCGATTCCCACTGGCAGCGAGTTGCACGTGCCAAGTTAATTAAACGTGACACTCGACTCATACTTGATAGGCCGCGCGTGCTTTTCACAGATGACGATTCGTGTTTACGAAACGTCCGCGAGGCGCGGGGAACGACGCCGATCCGATACGGCGGAAAAGAACGCTCGGAACTTTTCCCTCGCGGCGCAATGATTCATCGCTTCTTCACAAGCCCCGAAATAACTTTCGTGAAATTAGTCGCTCGCAAACACATGGCACCGACCCGATCTCGGGACGTCAAGTCTCTCTCAACGCGAGTTTTATATATAACTAAAATATCGAGCCCCATCTCTCTTTCCCTCTCTGCGTTTTAAAAAATCTCGTAAATGTAAATTAAAATTCTCTTAAATGTGCAAGCAACAAAGCGCAAAAGCGAGAGAGAGAGAGAGAGAGAGAGAGAGAGAGAAAACCAAGGTTGATTGGTGTGATTAATTAAAAATTATGTAATTAAAAAATTATTTAAAGGTAGAAAATCACGGACGAAATTACGTGCGGCACCTACAGGATACTCGTTTTCACTGTAACTGTAACAACTGCCAACCATTGTTGTACCGCGGCCGCGAAGGGGTGGTGTAACACCACCATCCTCTCGTCCGCGCTGAGAAACATTCATCGCGACGCGATGCCGGAGAACCGGTTCCTCCTCCTCGGGTCGAGCTTTCCTTTTCGCTCGGCGAGATTCGCGACATTCCCTTTTAGGGCAAGATGTTTGGCAGTTACATTACACTACACACGTGTAGTGGTCGTCTCATGGTCGCATGGGCGCCGTGTCGGCGGCAGCATCGCGACGCCGGCGTATATCGGGCGGGGGAGAGAAGCCAGTTCCATAACGGAACGAATCCCGAACGGATACGTTGGCCATCAGTGCAGCACGCGCCTCGCTCGTTCGCGTTCGCGTCACGGTTGGACCGGCTCGTGAAAAATCTCGCTCGCCGCTCTCGCGAGAAAACGCCTCTTATCGCGATCCGCGAAACGCGACGCTCGCGATAAGAGAGGCTGGCGTGGGCGCTGGCGAGGCTGGGTAATCCCGGACGGTGGACGAAACGGCAATTCTCGCTGGTAATTGCCGTTAATCGCGATCGCATATGATGTTGCAATTGCATATTCTAATATTGTATCGTACATTTTATGCAGTATTTTGTATATCACATGTACACACTGAGAAAAGATTGAAGTATTAAAATTAAACAAATACTTGTTCGAATACGACTGTGAATACATTTATTCAAATTAAGCGACTAATTTCTAAAATAAAATACAGAGGTTCTCTGAATGTGAACTTTTTTCTTGAATTTTAGAAAATAATTGCTTAATTTCAGTAAATGTATTCACAGTCGTATTCGAATATTTGTTTAATTTTAATACAATTTTTTTTTCAGTGTATATCACATGTAACGCGTGTACTGAATCGCAGCGGAAACAGCCAGTTCGCTTTTGTAGTTGAATGTAGTTGAATCTCGGTCAATTGTTCGTCCAAGAGTCGCCATCGCTTACGATCCTCCGCCAACTCGTAGCGTAAAACGGTTTGCCGAAGAAGGCAAAAAATATCGAGCTTTTCGATCGACTCAGTACATTTTACGTAACTACAAGTCGTTACGGATGATTTGCTAGTTGAAGTTCGTTATTACCAGTTATTATTGCTGGTTATATAATATCACGTACGGTACGTCTTGGTACGAGATAAGCAGGAGTTATCAGGAAATTTCTAGTTGCAAAAGAGTCGCGGAATAACAACGTAACTGCACGTAGAAAATTGATTGGCTGATAAACGACAAGTCAGCCATTGAGCTGAAAGTTTCGGCAGTTGCAAAAGTGCGTGGTTTCAAGCGACGATATTTCTTTGGCCGCCATCAAGGAGGCTGGTTCATTGATTACGACATGAAACATCTGACTGAAGTCGTTTTGTTGGAAACGACGACCTTGCCAGAGCTCAGGCAGAGTCGTAGCCATTGCAACAGCTGATCGTTCTATCGCGTTCTATAGAGTCTCTCCCCGCTGCAAAGCGCTCCCAGCCAGCTAATGACATCGCAGTAATTGCTAAATTGCCGGGTAGATTGTACTTTGTATCGGGTGAGAGATGAAGTTGATCTTCAATATGACACGCTGACCGTGACACATTTCGCCGTGTGACGTATTTTCCGCACGAGGGTGCGCCCTCAAATCGATAATCGCGCGACACGACATCACTTGACACTTGAATGCGAACGAAAGGGTGCAACTTGTCGCGTGGAATTGGTATAAATAATTGGGATTTTTTAATTACCACGAGGAGTAATCTCTCATGGGAACTTCCATGTCTCTTGACCTCAAAAAAGCCTTAATTAGATTACCTAATATATTTTAATAAACTCGCGGAAACAAGCGATGCATTTCCGAGCGCAAATTTTATCTAAGTAACTTCTCCCGATATATCTCGAGCAAATAAAAACCATTCAATATGCTTGCACATTTAAGCCGGAAGCGAATTATTCGACAGTCAAGGAATCATCGTCGTTGTTTATAATTCTTCGCCAATGTTCCGGCGGGGCAAACGCTGTCAGCATAATCGGCCGTCCGTGCACACGCACGGAAAAACATTTCGCGATTTATGCGTTTTGCTGTTGGACAAGCGGACGAAAACCGGTTGTAGAAACACCGAAATCCTCGTACGTGATTTATATTCAGTCAAGTGCGCTCTGTTACTTCAGCCGGGTCGAATATTCTCAGACGAATGATCTCAGTCGCGATAACGGCGATATCGTTGCTTGTCATCGAGTCGAGTCCGACTCCCATTTTATTACGCTGCCGTGCAATCATCCGGTGTGATTTATGCCCGCTCCGTTCGATCAAATTTATTTATACGAATTATAAACTAGTTTCCCGGCGATATCGTCCCCATTGTATCACCCCGCGATTTCCGTTCACGCGAGCATTCGCGCACGATGCGATACATTTATTTAGCCAGTGCGACTGCGCGACAGCCACGTGCCAGCGCAACGCGAACGCGCTCGGGAACACGTTCGTGTTCCCGAGCGCGTGATACCGTTTCCGAGGCTAAGGAAAGCTTACGAAACGAAACGATCACGCAGGTGCGTACCGCAGCGGCGTATGCAAATTCTGCCGGCGCCAGTGAAACGTGACAATTCACGGGAGGAACAATAATCGCGCGACGACGTGTCGAATACGTGTCATGACGCGACGACAGCGTTCGACTTTTAACACGTTCATTGTCAGACTGAAAATTTGAATTTCGTGCGGTGGCCAAAGTTATTTTTTCTTTTATTTATTTTTAGTCGTTTTTTTGCACGATTGAATTGGCATTGAACTGAGTCTTTTCGAGGGTCCTGGTTTGTCACTCATAATAAAAAACAATCGCGTAAACGGCCGTTTGGTGAGGGGCCGCAACACGCGATATCGCGTGAACGACAATGAACGTGTTAAATCGACGCTAATTAAGTCGAGCGTGACGTAGCGGGAAATGATTCCGTGAAACGCGATGGATCCAATTTCCTCGACTGGTCATAAAAGACGCGCGACGATAAAACCGCGGCGGGAGGCGCGACTGGGCGCTGTTTCGAGCGCGTCGCAGGTGCGATAACGCGCGACTTCTCCGCGATGTTCTCGCGTGGATTCTCTCGCTATTGTGTTCGCAATTAAAAACACTCGCGTCGGGAGTGATGAGCAGTGGCGAGCGGCGAATTGTCAGGTTACCCGACAGGGATTCACCCGGGACGCACCTAGGACGTTGTTTTAGGCTGTGACTCGCGACGATCCCATGTCGAGATAATAACACTGTGACTGTCTGACTTTCTGCGGTTGAAATTATTGCTCTTGGCAGACGCCCCGAAATGCAGCGTTAATGCACTTCGAGCATGTGCTGTGCATGCGTGTTCGGTTGATATAGCTTCGTCACGGGTCTAAGCCTCGCCGAATCGACTCGAATAGAACGGCAATAACGACGACGTCTTTATCGTCGTTAATATTACTCAGTGTCGTTTCTTCGGCAAGTTCCCCGTGGAATTTGCAATTCTGATTCCGACGGGCGGGAGTTCCTTCGACTTTATACTTTACGAACTTCTCAACGAGATTTACCGTTAAGGATCCGCGACTTACTACTACTCGCGCAGCTTTGAGTTTCCAAGGTATAAACACGTGACATAATTACAAGTGAATAGCCACAAATGAATATTCATACCGATTCCGGTATAATATATCAGGAAGAATCGGACCGAAAGAGAACTAGATCGTAATTGGGGACACATACGAGCGGACCCGTCCAAGATCGCGCTCGGTAGTTTCGAAAGATATCCTTCGCGCGTATCGGTCGCAAGGACCTTGTCGCAGCCATAACCTCGTGACTTTGATAACGACGTCGCGCGACATCGGCAGCGGTGCAAGCGGCACCGATAAAAGTGAGGTTAATCGGCAGCCAGATAGAACGATCGGCCAGCTTTCGGCGTCGTCGAGGTGATACGCGTTCAGTGCAATTCTCTCGGTTCAACTGATCGTCCGACAGTTTCCGACAGTTGGACATCGTGGATCACCCGCGATAAGAATATATCAGGACAAATCAGGATGAATACATACGGATGGAGCAGGGAGATATGCGAGCCAGAGTTCGTGCGGCAGGAGACGAGGAATGTAGAAGTGAGTATGACTTCGGGATCCGGCTTCGGGCTTGTTCCGGGTTGTCCAGTTCAGCGGATTATCCTGTTACGGGTTTTACGAGCTTCAAACGTGCAATTAAGGCGAACACCGAGTCGCGTGATCTCGTTAATTAGCGAACGCAAGGACAAGTCCTTCGCGCTTGGAATTCGCGCGCGTATTGTACGCGTTCGACTAAGGTCACACGTTGACCCGGACGTCGCACAGATGGCGCGACGAGGTTAAGCCGCGTGCACACGAACTGCACGCGCGCGGCATGACGCACGAGATGTTTGTTCAACCGCAGCGTTTTACGATATCCGCCACTTTAGCGAGCGAGATGGACACACATCGGACCGCGCTGCGGAGCGACGAGGAGGAGAGATACGATCGCGACGCGAAGTTTAGAAAACGCAGACGCGGAGAACACCTAGCTGAAACTTTACAGCTCACGAGGAAACTTTCCCGAGACGGAAATCCCCGTGTGCTCCAACGATGCACTGGATTATATAAAGTTCGGGGAAATCACCGTTGAAAAATTAACGCAAAACTCGATCGACTTTTCCTCTTGTCGCATTACGCATCATGATGAGCTATACACACGACTCCCACACGATCAATTCCTCCCACAACTCTATAATCGCATTTTCCTTCCTCGTTCTGCTTATATACGTGCTTATATCTACTCGAGCGTGTCTTTTATCCCATCAACATTCTATCTTTCTCTAGTTTTATCCGCTAAACTGCGACCACGACGCTTGTACGCTTAAACCTCGATAAGGCGGTCAATCGCGAACCTCTTTCTCCAGCATGAACTCGTAAAAAATGAAGATTGTGTTTTCCTCAGAAAGTTTGCGATATTTAACTGTTCGCAAGTTCACGTTAGAGGACAAGATTCACGATTGTTAATTAACTTATGTCTGTGAAATGAATCTCCTGATAATTACCGAAGGAACAGATCCCTGTACGTTAACCTCGATAAGCTCTAGGCGATCGATTCCTCCGAATCTCTTCCTCCGACATGAACTCCGACATAAAAAATGAAGATTGCGTTTCCTTCAAAAAGCACGTTAGCAATATTTATAATAGACTACGTTTACACGGCTTCTAACTTCGACTTAGTAACTACTACGTAGTTAGTGCAGTCTCGAATCCGATTAGAATATATTTTTAGATCTAAAAGAATATAGCAATCGAATATCAAAGAATTCACTAACTACGCTTGTTACTAATCCGGATTAACTTTGCCGTATAAACGTAGTTACTGAGGACAAGATTCACGATCACCGCTGATTATTTATACCTAATGAAACTCCTGATAATTACCGGAGGAACACGGATTCTCTCTATCGGCGCGTCGGGCGCGGGCGCGTTGCGAAACTCATCGATACGTATCGATTGTAAGCGCACGTCGCGAGAACTCGATGCACCAATGAGAGCGCGCTTTACCCGCGCGTTTCACGGGAATCGCGTGCACACCTCTCCGATACGCATTTAGCCGCGCCGCATCGCGTCGCGTCGCGTCGCTTGTACGCGGTGTGTGACGAAACACAGCGAAGAAATGCCATGAGTGAGGGGAGGCCGCAACGGCCGTGGCCGGCGCCGTGAATCTGTCCAGGCTAACGGTTTTATATCCGCACGAGAGCAACGGCGGGTCTCGGGTCGGTCTTCTCGCGCGTATCGTGATTCGTGCCGATCGGCGCCGACTTGAGCGTCGACGAGAGAGCGGTGTTGTTTCGTGTGTCCCGGCTGTCCTCGGGCTCGATTTATATCGACTCGATTCGCTGCGTGACTTCCTTCGAAATCCCGATATCCTGCGGTGGGCGTAGTCGAGCGACGGAACGGCCACGATGAGTTACTACGGTGGAGGTTATGGCTACGGCTTCGGCGGAGGCGACGGCGAACACGCGGACGATGTGTTCGTGAAGTCGGTGGTCGAGGTCAAGCGGTTCCTGCCGTCGCTCTTCAATATCAAAGTGGTACGCCGCAGCGCATTGATTCTCAATTAATTGGCTGTGTTCGGAAACGTCACTTGGATACTCTCTCTCTCTCTTTGTCTCATTTTTATGTCTCTCTCACACCAACGCAGCAGTACACCCGAGTGACGTTTCCGAACGCAGCCAAAAGGTCTGTTTTTTATCGCTGAACTAGTTTTAAATGAAAATAAATAAATATACATCTAGGAGTTAGTGAAAGGGAGAGGAGAAGAGAATAAGTGCAAGTTAGTGCAGCCAGTTCAGCAATAAAAAACAAACGTATAGATCGCCGGCGAATGAGTCAGAAAGAGCACCTCGTCGCGCAATTGGACGCGTAGCGTTTCACTAACCGCTCGTATCGCGTTCCGGTTCGCGTGTCGTCCAAGCATGCGCGTACCTGTGTATGTGTGTGTGTGTGTGTGTGAGTACTTGACATCACACGAGAAGATGCAACCGGGCGTATCTGAATTTCTCCCATAGTCGCGTTGCTTACGTGATCGCGATCTACTCATCCATTCTGACGCCACTTTCAGGACGAGCTGGATTTATTTTCGTAGGTCTATCGGCGTCGCTGACGCGAGATGTTCGATGTTTCATTCATGCCACACGCTCCATCGGAAGTGGAGTGCGCGGAACTCCTCGGTATTAGTAAACTTGAGCGCGGAGTGCGCTATTAACCGCGAATTTTATCCACCCTGATACGATCTTATCTACCGTTGGCCCGGCTGATAAGAGTTGTCAGTGTGTGAGTCCGATGAATCATTCAGTTGACCGAATCGAGAGTTCAAGTTTAGCGTTTACCGACAAACACAAAGCGACAAGATAACGTTTGACATCGATGTTACAATTCGGCAAATGCAAATACAACACACACTGTACATAACGAGAAATTAACATCGATGTAATGTTACCGAATCGCTTCGCACTCTCTCGGGGCGAACGTGTTGCGGCGACCGGCGTTCTGTTGCCGTTTCGTTTTCATCGCCGCTGAATCAAGAGAATGCGAAGACGCGTCTACGATATTACGCTCGATCGACGTGCTGGAGACGCGCATCTATACACTCCCTCTTCAACGAGCGAAACCGCATGCCAGTTTCACCCTTAAAAGCTAATCAAATATTCAAATTCAAATATTCAAATATCACCCCAAGTTAACTCTTCTCATTGTATATAGCGAAGTATATGCGAGAATCGATCTGTCTTATCATGATGGTATGTATCACTACTGACAGGGTGAATAAAATTAGTACTGTCAGTGTGGTCTTTTGACAAAATAAAAAATTCACACAGGGTGGAATTGGACCCGTAGTAACCCTTTAGGGGTTAAACGCGCGTTTTCGCGGACGAAATTCAGGATATCTCGACAACCGATACGCAGATGGGGGGGATTTCTCGAAATCGATCCGTTACACGATTAAATTCGCAAGTTGGGCGAGGGACGGAGGAGTAGTTCCTGTCATTCGAAACAAATTCACGTGACGGACCACATCCGTTGCACGATTCCGGCGGATTTGGTCCCGACCAGATCGAGTCTCTTTTCCGTTGGCGGGCCTGCTGGATTCGGCTGACTTCTTGATGTGCTCCCGCACGATATGTCGAGATCGTTTAATTTCATCGGTCAAGACAAATTCATTGGTCAGGCGTGCGTGCCGTCGCGCGGTGAATGGCGCGAGATCTTTCGCGTATCCTTCGATTCGCAAGGCGAACACTGCGGCTCGAATTTCGCTTTACGTTTCAGGCCGGCTGCTGCGATACGATCGCTTGAAACGTGCCAGGTGTTGAAGATGACGAAGGTTGCAATATACGATGACGACACTGTGCAAGAAATGCATGATCGATTCAATGCTACGTGTTTTTGCACAGTACGCATTCATTAATGGAATGACGGACGCGTATTGTGCGTCATTACACACGCGAGCGTCTCGTCCACGTGCTTCCATGCGCGTTAAATTGCGGGACTCGATTTAATGGCGCTTTAATTGGATTTATCGCGTGTCGCCGTCGTTTCGACAGCAATAACTCGGACGGGAGGAGAGAAGCGCGATGGACGGATCTGTGAATGTACCTCTGAGCTGATCCTGCTCCTGGTCCCCGAACTGGATATTTGCCGGAGCTACAGTTATCTTCGCCTCGAATCCCGCCTGATCTGCAACGGAAATGAATCCCCCCGATTATAATCCAAAGAGCCTCCTCGATTCCGACGTATCGCGAAAAAAGAGGCATCGGGCATATATTAGAAATTGACATCAACTCCTCCCCCCGTCTGCGTCTCTCCTTTAAGTCTAAGGTAGTCACTCTTCGACTCTTTCGTCTGGACTCTCTTTCTAGAGGTTCAATGAAGCTCGCAATCGTTACCGGGTCAGAGATGTCGGAGATGATTTCCGCAATTTTCAAAATATTCACCTCTCATCTCATGCCGTCGCCGCTGATATCGCGCACAAAGTCTCATCCTTCGCGAACCGACTTGCAAAATTCCAAAGGCAACTACGCTAGGCTTTCGATGTGACCGCCACCACGTCTAAGACTGTAACAGAAGACTGATCTCTTCATCGCACACCTCTCTCTCTTTCTCTCTCTCTCTCTCTCTCTCTCTCTCTCTCTCTCTCTCTCTCTCTCTCTCTCTCTCTCTTTCTCTCTACCTACGTAGAGGTATGGTTGCTGTTGTTCGAAAGGCCACGCGACCTACAGCCCACGGAGAGACGAGCACTTTGAAGGAGAGCACTGTTACGTTATTTATTTAATTATTCAACGTTCGTCAACCATGAAAATCAACAGCAGGCTGACACACGGCGGGATACTCGCTGGCCTTGGATGTGCGGCAAGCACGCGATAACATCTCGCGCTGTAGATGAATTCGCGTCCGCTCATCGCGCTCCAGAATTCATGCGGCCATCGCGATATGATTCCGTATGAATTCTCCTCGACGCTAACCGAGCTAGTTAAGGTGTCGCGCGGCACTTTCGGGATATCCTGTGTGAGGTATTATAGGATGTTCGCATATATGCTTATCAAACAGCGCATTGTAATCTAAATTGCGGTTCGTTGTCATCCGGTTGTGCACTATCATATCAGAGAGGCGATAACGCGATATCAAGCGAGCCCCATTGCCAGCACATAGCTTCCCTAAACAACGAGTGAGAATAGTCTCACTTGTCGCTTCAGATCGATCGTACGTCCTCTCGGCCTCTTTCTCAAGAAGACCTCTCGTGAATATCTAACGACTCCGCCGTTGTTTTCTTTCCCTTCCTTCATCTATGAACACGAGCGGCCTCGGCTTTCGCCCTTTCGTTGATAACACACCGAGATGGATATACAACGTCGTAGCAAGTACGCCAATTATCGCTACTCCAATTACATGCAAGAAGGCGTCGCGGTGCTGAAAATTGGATCCGGTTGCGAGCCCGTGAAGCTCGCGGGCGACGGTAGAACCGGCACCAACAACAACATCTATCCCGCGAAGCTCGAAATTGTCGGGAAAAATCCGGGAAAGAACGCGCCGACTCAGTCGAGCGACGAGCAGCTTCCGGCGGAGGAGCGAACGCGTTCGCTGCGAAATAAACAATTGTACGCGGACAAAGCCATACGAACGACGAAAAGTTACATCGGGAAGTCCTGCTACAACGTAGGCCACCCTCTAGATCTCTTAATCGTTGGTCCTCTCCGACTCGGATCACCCAGACCGCGCCGTGACTTCATGTAAACTGATGTTCGCAGCTGGGCGAGAAGGGCTCCGGCTTCAGACCGCGCGGTGAGGTCCAGGACTTCAACAGACTGAGACGGGAGTGCCTAGAGACAGGGCGGCTCTTCGAGGATCCTGAATTCCCGGCCATCGACTCGTCGCTGTACTTCTCCCGCAGACCGGACAGATACATAGAATGGAGACGGCCGATGGTCAGAAATATTCCAAAGATTTGTCAGGCTGTGTCATCATCCTGCTCGAGTAGTCGAGAAATCTGAAAACGTTGTCTCTCGCGCGAGAGAGCCAGGAAGGACTTTCGACTTGCAACGTGCTCGTGCTTTTGCAGGAAATCGCGGACGACCCGCAGCTTTTCGTGGAGGGCTTCTCGCGATTCGACGTGCAGCAGGGGGAGTTGGGAGACTGCTGGCTGTTAGCCGCTGTGGCGAATCTCACCATGCATCCGAATCTGTTCTTCCAAGTGGTGCCGGAGGACCAAAGTTTCGAGGAGAACTACGCGGGGATCTTCCACTTCAGGTTCGACGGGAATTCGATTCGTAAATGTCGATTCGCGCCTCCTCTATACCAGAATGATTACGTAAACTCTGTCTGCTTTCGCAATTTCTCGCTTATGCGAGGCGAGTCATCCTGCCCGTGCAGTGAAATGTCGCGAATAAATATTTCCCGCGTGCTTTCGTCGAATCGAATTTATTATTATGGAAACTGGCCGTTTTAATCACGAGTCATCGTGAGCTTGGAAACGACTAATCTGCATGAGATATGTATGCGCATCAGGTTCTGGCAATACGGCAGATGGGTCGACGTGGTGATCGATGATCGATTGCCTACCTGCCGCGGCGAACTGGTATATCTGCACTCAGCCGAGAACAACGAATTCTGGAGCGCCCTGCTCGAGAAAGCTTATGCGAAGTTACACGGCTCCTACGAGGCGTTGAAAGGCGGCACGACCTGCGAGGCCATGGAGGACTTTACTGGCGGAGTAACGGAGATGTATCAGATGGACCAAACGCCGCCCAACTTATTCAACATACTGCTGAAGGCTTTTGAGAGAAACTCGTTATTGGGTTGCTCGATTGAGGTGAACTAGAAACCGCTCGTCCTGGACGAGGCCTCTTGAATCGATCATTGCTTCCGTTTGGTACTTCAACCGGTTGAGCGATAATTTTTGTTCGATATCACAGCGTTGCTGTGACGTTTTCAGTTTCTGTTATAGACGGGATATAATTCGAAAGACAAGACTCTATACTTTCTACACTCGCAATATCAGAGCTTCTCAAGAGTGTATCAGAGGACGCGTTCGACGCGTTTTACGCGTGAATGCACCGTTCAGAAAATTAATAATTTAATCGCTAAAACTTGCCAATGAAAGTATCATGCGAGAAAACAAACGTCATGTTGACAGCGTCAACACGAAGGAAACGTTATCAACATGCAGACGCGTCTCTTTTAGCCCGACCCGAACATACTAGAAGCAGAGACACCTCAGGGACTGATACGGGGTCACGCTTATAGCATTACTCGCGTGAAACACGTGGAAATCGAGACGCCGAATCAGCGCGGCACCATACCTCTGCTGAGACTTCGGAATCCTTGGGGAAACGAAGCGGAGTGGAACGGGCCTTGGAGCGATCAGTGAGTCTAATTTCACACGTCGACTATGTGTCACGAGCGAATCTCACGCTTTCGTTGTATATCAATGCCCATCAAGGTCCCCGGAATGGAGATTCATTCCCGATCACGAGAAAGAGGAGCTCGGCTTAACCTTCGACGTGGACGGCGAGTTCTGGATGTCGTTCCATGATTTTACGCGTTACTTCACCCAACTCGAGATTTGCAACTTGAATCCGGACTCGTTGACAGGTCACGATCTCGATGCCGGTAAGAAGCGTTGGGAGATGAGCGTGTTCGAGGGAGAGTGGGTGCGCGGAGTAACGGCGGGTGGTTGCAGAAACTACTTGGGTGAGACTTCGACTTCGTGAAGTTTGTTTATCTTAATTTCGATTCATTCGGACGAACGAAATGTATCTCTTTCGCGCAGAGACTTTCTGGCACAACCCGCAATATCGCATCACGTTGGAATATCCCGACGACGATGACGATAAGTGTACCGTGATCAGCGCTCTGATGCAGAAGAACAGGCGGGCGCAAAAGAGAATGGGTGCCGATTGCCTCACTATAGGATTCGCTATTTACCACGTATGCAAAATTTCATTGATGATGAAAGATAAATCCACGGAATCTGAAGTCTTCTGTGTACGATGAGTTATCAACTGAATTTTTCATCGACAGTTGGAGTACCCGGAGAGATTGCCGAAACCGTTGGACATTAACTTCTTCAAGTACAACGCGTCTGTCGCTCGTTCACCGGCGTTTATAAATTTACGAGAGGTCACGTGTCGCTTCAAATTACCGCCGGGCGTGTATTGCATAGTTCCAAGTACATTCGATCCGAACGAAGAGGGTGAATTTCTGCTGAGAATCTTTTCCGAAAACAAGAATAATATGGAGTAAGTTGTGTCGCGATATGCAAGATGTCTCAGACGAACGCGTGAAGAGAAGTTATAAATTTTCAGTTATCAACAGTGACTTCTTTCTCAACTATTCGAAAGGTCTTTTGTTTTCTGTTACGTGAATACTTATGATTCCTCAATGTTTTCATCCACGAGAAAACCGCTTGAAATATTAAACAAATTTGTAGATAAAAGCACGACATGCCATTAAGTTTGAGATATCTCGTACGGTGACCTTTGTTACGCTAATCGAAAAGTTTTTATTGCAACTATCTCGTTTCGTTTACAGAGAAAACGACGAGGAAGTCGGTATCGGCGAAGTCGACGATAGGGTAAACACTATGAATATTTTAATGAGAGCTAACACTCGCACACCATTAATCTTAAGACATTAATCTTAAACAGTACTGACTGTTATATTTTATGTATGTGTGATATCTCTTATTTTATTATCACATAATTTGACGATGAAACTAAAACGATACATTAGGTAAAATTCATAAACACCGTTGAACCATGAAGATGTTGAATAATACATGAAAATTCTGATGTACTGTTTAGGATTAATTGTATTGCATCGAACGCGATAAATATCATTTCACTTTGCATAATTCATGAGAAACAATTGCTATATAGCGCAGCATTAACGCTTGATAAGTACAGGTCATGTATCGTGTGTAATGAATGTGTAATGAATGTGTAATTGTGGATTGACAATGCATTTAATCGGTTCTTGCTAATTCATGTAAATCATCGAATTAACCAGCACTATGCAATTGAGCTCTCGGCCTAGCTCGATATGTCAAGCTCGCAGCAACACTTATGGGGCTCAACATCATTTCATTTATTCGACATGCTATCCAACGTTACTTCACATTCGGAACATCATCCCCATCCACGATGGTAATCTCTCTTTAATGTATAACGATACGCATGTTTACCCCGCTTGGCTTTTAGGTGATTAACCATGTGGGTGGTAAAGAGGAAGAGGACAGAAATAACGTAAGTATGTCGCACGCCTACTTACACCAGCACAATCACTTCGATTGCAATGACTTTACAGCACCGAGTGAGTCACTCTGTAGGAGCAGAATTAAAAACTAAGATATTTATTCAGCTATAAAAGTACTTCTGTTACTACAGTTACTCATTCTGTATACTAACAACACAAGAATCTTATATATCTTACTGAAATTATGATCGTTTGTAGATGAAGGATGAAATAGGAAATGCAGAGTTTTAGAATACAATTGCAATCACATTTTAAGAACTGAAATTTTGCGTTTCTTCCCTGAGATTATCTTAGACTGTAATTGTTTGTCATTTTTGTCATCAACAGTCTTCTCTTTTTTCTGTTTCCAGGTTCGCGATGAACCCGAACAAGACCGCAATACCGAAAAAGTCCGAGAATTCTTTAAGAAACTCGCTGGTGACGACTTGGAAGTTGACTGGATGGAACTCAAAGATATCTTAGATTTCGCCATGAGAAAAGGTAAATATCGTATATACAAATAAAAAGTATATACATATGATATGAAAAATAGTACACATATATATTTAGTTGCAAATAAGATACCGTATACTTTGAAACACATGATTACATTTTATCCAAACACAGAGCTTTGCTTCTTGCTATGTAGCTTCTCGTACCTTATCTCTTCGCTTAATTGATGTTTTATGTAACCACGTAGACATCGTACATTTAATCACGCTTAATCATTGATCCTGATATTCTGAATATCGTTCGATTATCATTACCACCTGCACAATTAATTTTTACTCTAATAGCTAATTTCTTATGGATTCTCTCTTAGTACCATTCAAGATTCCTTCATTCTCTCGGCACGCGATGGCATTTTAATTATTATGTCAATAATTTCGCATGCTTATGTCTCTTACCTTGTAATTCATATTGTACAGTACATAAATACATTTGGGTCCCTCAAATAATAAGCGCAGAGACTAACGTTAATATCACTTCTTAAGTTAGAATTTTTGATTCCGGTCGATCTGACAAGGGAGTGATATAAACTTCCGCAGTAAGAATTTTTAACTGATATAAGAAGCCGTTGAGTGCAATAAATGAGAGAGAATCGTGTAAGCGATACGAATGATGTTCACGCTCCAAAGTAATGAGTTCTCGAATTATACGTTGTACGTACGACTTGTATGGCCCAAGTGTACGTATGTAGAACATCTATGCTAACATGTAGCTGTGTGTTACGGGTAGAGTTACCGCAGTTGGCGCATCGTAGCGAGGCACATGTACCCGAAACTGTTGAAGGAAATGGTTCGTTTGTCGACACTCTCATCTCACTGCTGTGCGGCGTTGTTTGTAATAATGAACAGTACAATAAGCCCGTAGGTAAGGCAACAATATGCTATTTCCTACCGCGGGATCGTTCTTGTCTCAGTCGCGTTGCGTCAATAACGATTACCGCAAAATATATCGCCAAGATCATTTGGTTATCCTTGTTACGATAACACGCTCTCGCCAGCACTCCTACAATGAACTGATAGTGTCAGTGTCAAGATGGCGAGTTAACGAGTTGACATTCTAATCTAGTACGGTGCGAGGCAGAGCAGAGTGGAAAGAAACGTAATAAGAGAACAGCTACGGCAAATATTAGTGGAGTACAATTTTAAACTGCATGCTTCCTTAATTAACGGAATGATGAGGCGTTAACGAGATGCTTGATGAATTTTTTTGACTCTGATATAGCTGTAACATAATCTTATCAGATTGCTATCTCTAATCTATGGTCAAAGAAACTAAGTGTCCCCAATCTCGCAACTATAGCGTTGTTATATATATATCTTTAACATCCATGTTTGTCTTCCGCACAATTTAGAACGTCTCACGACAACATTCCCATGTGCAATTTCCACCTACGTTTTACACGTATTGTTGTGTACCTGAATATAAATGTATTTGAATTTTTTTGATGTTACAAATCTTTTTCTTCCTCTGAGTTGTGAAGATCACAGTAGGCAAATTTTTGTTGTACTGAACGAGTTCTTATTTTTTGAATTGCAGATACTCAAGACAGAGGATTTAGCAAAGACATATGTCGCAGCATGGTCGCAATGTTGGATGTAGATCATTCTGGGAAACTCGGTTTTGAAGAATTCAAGACGTTATGGAATGACATCAGGAAATGGCGGGTAAGCGTGAGATATTCTATTCGATAATTTGCATAAATACGAGTATGCGAATTTGCAAATATACATATGCGAAATGCAGCGTTGTATCAGCGTCAAGCGATATAACAATTACGATACAATTATTTTTAGGCTGTTTTCAAGCTATACGACAAAGACGAATCGGGCTATCTGAGCGCGTTCGAATTGAGACAAGCGTTAAATAGCGCCGGATATCGTTTGAATAATCATATTCTCAACATTTTGGTCCACCGTTATGGCACCAAAGACGGCAAAATTACATTCGATGATTACATAATGTGCGCGGTCAGACTTAAAACGATGATCGGTAAGTAAAGCGTATGCTTAATTAATGCGCTTATTAATATTAACGGTCATACAAGCACGAGGTAATTAACAATAACACTTCACTGCTATTGCAGACATTTTCAGAGAAAGAGATCCAGATCAAACCAACACGGCTACGTTCACGATGGAAGAATGGATAGAGAAGACGCTTTACTCGTAATAACATACGTACAAATATATACGATTCGCTGTTATCTGACTTTACCTCGAACTTATTCGGTTCTTCTTATAATGTGACAACAAACGCTTGAAATTGTGAACAACATCTACTTTTTTATAGAAAAGAGAGTATTTTTAAGAATGTAATTTGAGAAGCTGCGTGCGTGTGTGCACATCTGTTAATTCTCACTTCTCCAAAGCGATATTATAGTATAAGAAAACGTCCACCTTGAGGAAGATCTTTGCAATATATATTTAACAAAAAAAAAAAACTAATGTATTTGTAATGTAATTAATGTATAATAAAATTTTCAGATTGTTTCTTAATTATGCAATTATCGGCTGCATCAATGCTGGGTGCAACGTTTGTACCTTCGGTATTATGAGATTTCTTTGTAAACGCGGTTATACCGAACAGCATTAATGTACTCGAATACGCGACATAGATTAATAGAAATATTCAAATGCATTTGAACTCAGGTAAGTTTTGAGTAATATCGAATATTATTTGCAGAAGAATTGAACTATTTTTAATACTATCAGTGTGATCTGTGGTCAAACGGACGTTGCTTCATGCAAACTCCATAAAACTTTTGGTGGTAAATCTTCATATTTCATTGGTATTGTTATTAAGAGATACATCTTACTAGTTCGCATATATAAAACAAATACGCAAGCTGATCTTCATAAATTTACGCAACTTAAAATATCAATTCTGTTCATCTTTTTTTAATCTATGAAATCAGTATTGTTATTCCCAATACAATGAAAAAAAAATGAAGATTGCATGTGAACGTGTATGGGTGAACATTATATAATTTAACTACAGTGTTGTATTTTCTATGTTTGTTTAATTGTGTCCAATACAATGACAAATAAACTAAGTTGATACTCCAATTCCTATTGTCTGATTGGCATCATATTCTCCCTAAAACATCCTACCATCAAATATAACTCTCTATTTTATTACAAATATACGGTGGAGCAGTTTTTAAAACTACAAAATTCTCAGCTTATATAAGAGGGCTTTATATTTTCTTGAATATTTATATACAAGTTATATTAAATTATTTTGAAAATAAGGCAGATCTAAGTACTAAAATAGTATTGCAGAAGAGTACAGCATGAAAATAGTCAAAGGTGACTAGTAAACTTTTAAAATACTTTCAAGAAAAATTGCTGTTTTATAAAATCTGAAGGAAGAAGAGTTTCTGTATATATAACATCAATGTGTATAATCAATATATGACATCAATGTGTATAACAATTATAGGATATAACTCTTCTTCAAGGGCTTCCAAGGATCTACAATGGTGAATTCTAAGAAATCCTCTGTTGATTTATATATCAGGTCTCTTCATGTAAACCATGGGCTGTGGAAGAAGATATGTTGTCCACTGGGTTCTGGATGAATTAATTTGGTTTTTTTTAGTCAGTCTATGTACAGATCCTCCTCAATACTGAAGAACTTTCTCCATTAAAGATTCTTTACAAAATATGGAACAAATCTTATATAAGTATAGTAAATAAGAGCTTATGTTCATATTTTTCTTAATGCTAATATTTCACTGGAAAAATATTCCAAGTAAAAATGAAATCAATTTAAATAAATACAGACATTCATCTTCATTAAGAAAGGCAATATAGTATGATATATAAAAAATCAAATATGATTTGTAATATATAATGAGAACATAATGCTTTAAATATAAAAATAGCTTTAATTGGTGCAATTATTTACCTAAACAGCAGTGAGAGGTACATCATCATCTAAGTCATCGTCTTTACTTTGTTCATGCAAAAGAACATATTCTCTTGAACTAAAGCCAAAGCGTATCACATCTCGTTCTAATAATTCATGATACCTCCTGGGTTCTAATTTCACATTATTTACAAATGTGCCATTTGCTGATTCCAAGTCAATGAGGTATGGCCGTATTCTTCTACTTTCAAGACCACCTTCTTTTTGATAAGAGACTAAACGATATTGCAGTGCAGCATGCTGCTTAGAACATGATGGGTGATCCAAAGGTATATCAGCCACTTTACGATCTCTCCCCATAAGATACGCCGACTGCCGATGGATATATAATGTGGGCAATTCTTTCTCTCCTTTAAAAGTGTACAGCCTCCACCTGCGTTTTGGTTTCCTAGCATCTTGTGGCTCCGAGTACTTTATGACTACACCATTGAAAGTGTTGACTTCTTCTGTCAATTTTCCTGACAATTCGAAATTAGGTTTTTCTTTCTCTTGGGGTTTTGATTTAGACTCGTTTTTTATATTTGGTTTCCCCCATTCAGGAGAAGTTTCCTTCTTCTCCCTAACTTCTTCTGAGCTTCTCTTCTGCTTATCATCGCGTCTTCTCCCAGAGTCATTTCTGTCTCTGCTCCTGCTCCGATCGTTGTGTTCCTTATGCCTGGAGCGTCCGTTATCTTTCCTGAACGGCGATCTCTCATGTTTTCTCCTGTCGTCATCTTTCCTAGAGTGATCGCGTCTGCTGGTTCTGTGATTTCTATCTCTGTCTCTTTGAGATCTGTGAGAATCATTGTTACTCTCACGTCTGCTGCTTTTGTGCGTGTCCCGCCGATCTATATTGTCGTTGTGACTTGATCGCCACATATCGTTCGGTTTATTCGCAAAATCAAAAATTCAAAGTTGATAAACTACAACCTAACCTAACTTAGTAGTTAGAGACGTAGCACTGAGTTGTTGAAATTAGAAAGAGAAACCTGAGAGGCTACGGTGCTGTGATTCAAGACATGACACTGCTCAAGATCATTACGCACGCTTTCCATAAAACGTAACAGCAAAATTTCGACCAGTCGCATTCCTTGTTTCAAATACAAATTTACGATTACAGATGGCCGAATTAAGCTAAGACTCCATGCATGCGGTGAGCTCCGGCAAACGGCTGCGGTGACCAATCAGGAAACAGACGCATGCCGGAGCTTGCCGCAACCGGACTTGCGCCTCCCTCCTGATTGGTCACCGCAGCCGTTTGCCGCAGCTCACCGCATGCATGGAGTCTTAGCTTTAAGCAATGCAATTGGTCGAAACCTTGGTGTTACATTTTGTGGGAAATATGTGTGATAGCCTTTACCACACGAAAAAACTTGCCCTGGTAATAATTCTGTAGCTAAAACATCTCGTTTTCTTCGGAAATAATTAGTTACTCGGAATAATAAGAAAAATTAAGCAATGCAATTGGTCGAAACCTTGGTGTTACATTTTGCGGGAAATATGTGTGATAGCCTTTACCACACGAAAAAACTTGTCCTGATAATAATTCTGTAGCTAAAACATCTCGTTTTCTTCGGAAATAATTAGTTACTCGGAATAATAAGAAAAATGCGATATTTTCAACTTCAATGAAATAAAATTTCGTTTACGCTCTGTTGCCTATAAGAATAAAGAAATTAGTAATTCCATTATGTTTTTTATTTCAATCAATTTTTAAAAAATTTTTTAATGAGTTGGTAGAAATGAGCATGACACAATTAATGTGATGTGTTTTTATAAAATTGACCTTGGTCTGAAATATGTTACAATTTAATATTATATCTGGAGTAGAATAGTTTCCAGTTATCACGAAATTCTTGAGCGGTGGTTACTGTAAGTAATTTTATTATTTTTATTCATTTGATTTTGTTTTCATACGTCTTTAATAAAAATTGTGTGTGTTTTCTTATCAGAAAACGTATAGTAAGAATATTTAAAGCGCCATTGATTGATATATCGATTATCACATAAGATGAATCTGCTACGTTCTTTTGTCAATTTGCGACACATTGCAAATCTCGCAAATTGTGCTAATAAAATCACAGTGAGATGTGCTTCTCAATATTATGATATAAACGACGATCTGTTTGGTTTAAGTAAGGACCAGAAAGAGGTTAGTAATGCTTTGTAGTTTCAACTGATCGCGATCACGTCGTTATCAACTGAATCATGACAAAATATAATTTTAGTTTTCTAGTTATATTATTTTAATTACATTCCCTGTAGAATGAAATTTATATTTGGAAATTAGAGAATAAAAAAGAAAATCCAATGAAATTGTATAAAAATGTCAGAAGTGTAGCTGAAAATAAAAAAAATGTAATACAGTTATTATTTAATTACTAAACTTGTCTTTTTACGTAAATTTGTGCATATTTATCTTAATTTTGAATTATATTTACTTTAATTACATAATTCAGAATATATAATTCAAAATTTATAGTATTTGTTATATGCACAGTATTTTTTTCATAAAAATTATATCTAAAGTTTTATATACTAACAAAATACAAAATACTAACAAAGTACAATATTTCTTTTCCAGCTTCGCTCACTAGTTTTCAATTTTGTGCAAAAGGAATTGGCTCCTAAAGCTGCTGAAATTGACAAGAAAAATAATTTTGATAAATTGAAAGTAAGTATTCTTTCATAAAGAGAATATTCTTCCTCTATAATATAAACTCAATCTTGATATAAAGATTATGAAAAAAATTTCGAAAATTCTAAAATTTTGTTCTATTCATGGAAATCAGATCTTATGGATAAAGAGATGATTTTTAAGTGGTAATTTTATATAAATGATTTAGGAATTTTGGCAAGAATTAGGCAAATTGGGCTTATTAGGTATTACAGCAAGTACAGAATATGGTGGCACAGGTGGCACATATTTTGATCATATTATTGTCATGGAAGAAATAAGCAGAGCATCAGCAGCTATTGGACTAAGTTATGGTGCACATTCAAATCTATGTTTGAACCAGATCAGTAGAAACGGCACAGAGGAGCAAAAGCACAAATACTTGCCCAAAGTAACTTTTTTTTATTATGTTTATACATACAATATCTATTATATATCCACCCTAATATTGTAATATTTTAGTTGTATATATGGCTTTATGTTATACATATTATAACATGGCTTTATAACATATATACAAGTATATATCTAAAATATGCACAATTAGAGAGAATACTTTCTATAACATAGAAAAATTATCCAAAATATAAGTGAAAGTTTTGTAAATTAAGATATTCTTTAATATTCACATTGATTAATGAAATTAAATCTATATGATTTAATGAACTTTTTAGCCAAGCGAGTTCTTAGAGCATATTGTATTTTCTCTTCTATGCTCACAAATTCATTAAGCCACATAAATCGTTTGTGACATATGAAACTTTCAGCTGTGTAGTGGCGAGCATTTTGGTGCTTTGGCAATGTCAGAGGCAGGATCAGGTTCTGATGTTGTCTCCATGAAGCTAAAAGCTGAGAAAAAGGGCGACTATTATATATTGAGTGGAAATAAATTTTGGATCACCAATGGCCCAGACGCAGACACATTAATTGTCTATGCAAAGACTAATCCAAATGGAAAACCGCAGCATGGTATCACCGCTTTCATTATAGAACGTGGTATGGAAGGCTTCAGTACAGGACAAAAGCTAGACAAGGTGGGAATGCGTGGTTCTAACACGTCGGAACTGATCTTTGAAGACTGTAAAGTTCCAGGTAAAAAGGAGCTCTGACATAAAATTATTGCATAAAAATGGAGGTTTTATTTATGATACAGTTTGATTGTTTAAGTTAGAAAACTATTTTGTATATATTACGATGTATATTTTTTCATTAAGGATGTCAATATATTAAATAAAGATTTTTCATTTATGATTTAATTATAGAGATATATAATGATGAAGAAAGAGTCAGTTTTTCTAATCTTCACTTTCCGCATGTTCTTTAGAGATTTGAGTATTGCTGCTGTTTCCAATAGTATAATTTGCACATTCAGTACCTATTGCAACATTATAATTTTTTGTTACGCTTTTAGTAAGTTTAACAATTTTTGTTACAGCTGCGAACGTATTGGGTGAAGTTAACAAGGGGGTTTATGTACTCTTCAGCGGACTGGATTACGAACGACTAATATTAGCTGCCGGACCTTTGGGGTGAATATTTAATAAAAATTCGACGAATCGTGCAAACTAAATTTTTCTTGAGTAGTCTGTTTTTATTTTTTAAGCAAAAAGTTCGAGCATCTCAGTACTAAAGACAATTATTAAAGATATATTAATACGTGAATCTTTGTGATTTTGATCAGACTACGATAATTCGATCGATAAGACTTGTTTGTAATACGATCATAAATTACAGAGTCTCGATGTCCTGTTGCGATGTAACTTTCGAATATGCTCACACGAGGAAGCAATTCGATCAATATCTTGCAAAATTTCAAATGATACAGGTAAGATTGTTTTATAATTCACAAGTGTTTGTAATCTCAATTGATATTGATTGGTTGAAGTAATATAATTGTTTCAGTCGAAATTGGCCGATATGTATACGCGTTTATGTTCAGCCAAGAGTTATCTTTACACTATCGCGAGATCTGCTGACGCCGGTGAGAGAAGCCGCAAGGATTGCGCTTCGGTGCTCCTTTTTAATACAGAGAACGCCGTGAAAACGGCATTGGACGCCATGCAAATACTTGGTAAATTGTTCACCGAACAAGACGATAAGAAATTTTATACGTTTATCATATTATTCGAACTATTTTCGATGAGAAAGTATGTTCTTTGATAGATTTTAATTCACATTCTCTGTTTTTTCAATTACGATAGGTGGAAATGGATATACCAACGACTACTCAGTGGGACGACTGCTACGAGACGCAAAGCTCTACGATATCGGCGCGGGAACTAACGAAGTACGACGTTTAGTCATTGCCCGTGCAATCACCGAAGAATACTTAAAATGAGACATTTCGTCAACCTGCATCTACTAATTATTAGACGACAAATGTGATCTTCCAATGGTAATATATCATACTCATGTGGAAACTTATGCAACAATACGATACATGTCATGAGATAAGACTCATAACTATTAAGTAGTGTTTACTTAATAATGTGTTGTATAAGTTTTCGATATATGTTTTTGATATATGGAGAAATATCTTATTTTAATCTTATGGATGTTAATTTTGTTATTCTTTATTAATCATTGCTGAATATATAGCTTACGTTGTTCGTTTTGTCATTTACATGATTATCATGTACACTTGTAAAAGTTTTTATATATATCATACAGAAGCAGATAAACATGTTATGTTTCATAAGTAGAGATAGTTATCCTCAATGCGTGTTCTCATTAATTTTAATGATTTTGCAGGCTTATACTTTATATACATTCGCAAAGATTGCACCGCGTTAGTTTCTCAAACGAGAAACTTTTCTTTTCAAGGATTGTCAGTGATCGACTTATAATTAACTAGTAATTAATAAACCAATGATATCGCTGATTTTTCATATTGCATATCAGCGATACGAATGGATGATTGTATAAATTAAGATAATTGAGTCACTAGAGCGGCCAGAACAGAGATTGCAATTGACTAACCTTTCGCGCTATAGGTTGCTAATTTAAGTCGTAACACATACAAGCGTATTTTCTTATCTTTTCTTTCTTGCTTCCTCTCGCGCTTTCTCTCTCTCTCTCTCTCTCTCTCTCTCTCGCTCTCGCTCTTTAAAGCTCGGATCTCTCTGTTAATGACAGTGCAGCCCAATTGTATCGAACCAGTTCACATAGGGGATAAGTTCCTCGTCGTCTGTGAACAGCGACAGAACGATCCTCACCAGGAAGAAGTTTGAAAAAAGCTGAGTGAACGGGTTTTTGCAGACTAAGGATGGCTCTCAAATTCTCTATAGGCAACTTTTACGAGGCCTATGTGAGTACATTCGAACGAGGAGGAGTTGTCCCCCAATATCATTCCTTTATGTGACTTATAGCCTGTTCATCCGTTGATTGGACCTACCATCGTTTTTTATTTCTACCGACAGTTTCTTTGACGAGTCCAGCAAAGATTTTTCGCGCTTATAAAACCGACTGGGAGATTCGGCGACTGAATAATTCAACTCGGTTCATGTTTAGTTTAGCAATTAGTTTATATAGCAAATTAGCAAATATAGTTAATAGGATAATTTAACATGATATCTCAATTGAATTAGTCCTCAATTGAGATGTCAATTGAATTATCCCGAATAGAACTTTAAGTCAAAATGTGCTAGAAAATTGTTTTTATTTTAGATTAAATTAATAAATTGATAAACATTAAATTAATAAACGATGAATATACCATTGGAATTTTGGACGCGATGAAGTGTATCTTGTGTTGCTTCTCATGGATGCTGCGTCATGAATATGTATCCGTTCCCATTCATAATGGATTTCCAAGGAACAAGTGTTCTGACAAACCTGTCCCGAATTGTATCAATAGAATTTATATTATTTTGCATGAATAGTCGCGCAGAAAATTATTTTCTTCTCTTCCCAATGGTTTCCTGGCTTTTTCCGATATGTTATTGTTGCTATATATTATCATTTCGTATGCACGTTCGAATGCTATTGTCTTAAATGTTACCTGCACAAACAATATTTTCTTTTTCAGTATTTTCTAATCATTTCGCTCTGTGATATTCTGCGATTATCTATAATCTTTTTCTTAGAGTTTCAAGAGAGAAACGGAGAAGATGACAAAATATTTTATAATCAAAGATAATTCGATAAATCCCTTTCAGGTTCTTGTTGCATCGAGCTGTTAGAAAGCATACGAAAATTCACGAATCTATTTATTTGTACATATGAGACAAAATCTACAAAGTTCCACGCCCGCTATGTTAGCAGCGTTTATAGACGCCCTTGGTAATCATTTCACAAGTTCCACCGGCCCGGCTAGCCCCGTCGTGTACATGATGATACACTCGCACCTTGAAGGATCCCTCCCGCGAAGTGTCCTTCGCGGGCTGACGCCGCCGCGGCGTCGCGTCTCTCTCTCTCTCTCTCTCTCTCTCTCTCTCTCTCTCTCTCTCTCTCTCTCTCTCTCTCCTCTCTCTCTATCTCTCTCTCCTTCTTTTTGTCGCGCATTTTATGTGTACGCCCGCGACAAATACCAAAGAGAAATGAGTGCAGGTCGGGCCAGAACAATACGTCGGCGCGGTATGCCAACATTGCCAACTCGAAATGGGGCCAGAATAGCAGGGACGAGCAGCCGCCACCGCCGCCACCACCACCGTCGCGGCAGCGGTGCGATCCGTCGAGAGTTGGGCAACTCTCACGGGGCTCTGTCAAAGTCGGCATAGTCGCAAGCGAATGCAGCTGCAGCTGCTGCCTACCCCTCAGTGAGCAGTGCGACCACGACCCGGGACCCATCGCTCGCCGACTCGCGAGCGCGCGAGATCTCTCTGTCTTTCTATCCGCGCGGATCGACCTCGAGATCTCGAGAGCGGTTGATCCCTTCTGCTCCCCGTTCCGCCTTTCTTTCTCTCTTCACTCATTCGGATCTCGTAGTGCGTCTCGTGGTCGAATTAGGTGGTTCTTGTTGTTGTTGTTGTTGTTGTGCCTCCTGTTGTTCTCTCGTTGTTGTTTGTTGTCAGTGGTGGTGGTGGTGGTGGTGCTGCCGCCGGCTGGAGCCACATCTAGTTTAGAGCATGACGAGGAGGCACACGGTGATCGTGAAGCTCAGGAGATCCAGCACCGGCAGGCCTTGGGGCATACGAATCGCCGGGGGTGCTGATCTGGGCACACCGATCGTCGTCACCCGCGTGAGTCGTCCTTTCATCCACCCTTAACATGTTAAGGTCTCACCGGTCTCGTTTATTTGCGCGCAAAGCGCGGCTAATTGCATCTAGCGAATTAAATAAATAAATGCATACATATATATATAAATATACACATCAGGAAATGTACACAGATTGGCTGTGTAACTTGATTACGAAATACTCGAACGCAAGTAACATTTATTTGAATTAGCGTATGTGATGTCCAATTTCACCATTCGATTGTGATCGTCGTGTTAAATCGGCGGTAAATGGTTAAAATTTCTCTTGGTCTAAGAGAGGAGGCGGGCCTCACGTGCCAGATGGAAATTCGCTAATTAGCCCGAGCAGTATTCTCTCCGGGCAATAACGACTTTTATCCGGGGAGGACCGAATCATCTCAAATTAGCGAGACGGTCCGTTCGACGTCTACTTACTTGGCTTCGATACGTTTTCGCGCTGGCATTTGCAAACCGGCCGAACAACAGCAGAAGACGTAACACAATCCCGTGAACATTTGAAACAGCGAGAGAGGGAGAGAGAGAGAGAGAGAGAGAGAGACAGAAAGGGGGAAGAAGAAACAAAGAGAGAAGCCGCCGAGAGGGCTGCCAAGGAATTCTTAAATCAACGATGTGATCTAGCGCACCCGCGACATTGATACACGATACGGCGGAAAACGCGGTTCGACGATAACGAGATTCCTTTTTCTCGCACGTTTCATCTCATATTCTCATCAGCGTATTTTATGCAGCGTAAATTGAGAGAGAGAGAGAGAGAGAGAGAGAGAGAGAGAGAGAGAGAGAGAGAGAAGGAGAGAAAGTCGTAGAATTCGCACGTCCCGCAGTTTTATTTACCTCTATTTTTAGTTCCAGTTTACCATTCAGCCAACGTTATTTCACTCTTTGCCTCTGTTTCACTTTGATGTTCCTCCGTCGAGAGACCGGCTGATTCATAATAATGTCTCAATGATGATAATCTCTTAATATCGATGATAATCGTTATGACAGCACAAGTGGCCGTGGAACTCATACTTTCTAATTTTTTATCTCTATTTTTAGTTTACATTTAATTTTAAGTTTACATTTAATTTACCATTCATCTCTGACTTCCTTACTTTCTTCACCTGCTTGACCCTGATTTTCCTTCTTCGAGAGATTGATTGATTCACAACAATATCTCGATAATGATAATCCTTTAAAATTGATCATGATCACGCGGATCCCTCCCCCCCCCTCTCTCTCTCTTTCTCTCTCTCTCTCTCTCTCTCTCTCTCTCGTATTGTTAATAACACCGTACCGATGTTCTGCTTACAGTCGGAGAACGAGGCGCTCCAGAAGGGTGACGTGATCAAGAAAATCGACGAGTATGACGCGCGCGACGTGAGGCATGTAGACGCACAGAATCTCCTACAAAACTCCGAAAGCATAAAGCTAGTCGTCGAAAGGTCTGAGCCGTCGAGCACAATATCGTCACGCACCACCGACACTACCACTACGTCACCCACGATTTTCGGGTCAATCATTGGCGACGGGGCTGCGGTCACTAGTCTGTCAGAATGCAATACCGTCTCTATTACTGCGTACTTCTGATATCGCCGCAAAAACTATCGCCAACTGCCGCTGCGCAACGCTATATTAACACGCCTCCTTCGATTAATCCCTCCGGTTGATCCCTGATCAGCCCCCCCCTTATTCTCCTCTCTCTCTCTCTCTCTCTCTCTCTCTCTCTCTCTCTCTCTCTCTTCTAATATCTTTTTTTTTCTTTTTTTTTCTTCAAGAGAAAACACGACCGACACCTCGCCACCTCGCGTCAGAATCTACCACCCTACCGTTCTCACCCCGACGACCGCCTTTGATCAACTTTTCTCGGGCACGTAAACGTCGAGGAACAGCTTCCTTTGAGCGAAAGTGAAACTAAAAGTTGCTCCTCGTATGTTTAATTTTAATTCGCACACAGCCTCTGGCGTTGCGTTTATTTCGATGGAGATCGAGAGGACCTCTGTTTCCTTTTTCGTTTGGATTACTGCTCTCACCTGACCTGAAGCAAACGATTCTCAAATTGCGCTTAAGAATGCTCCCTCGTTAGAATGAGATACTTCGTCATGCTTAAAGACGGTCGTCGAAGAACTGCGGAGCTTCTTGCATTCTGCCGCTACCGCGCAACACGAATGCATGCCGCCGGCAGCTTACTGATAATTCCACGACTACTTCACGCAGGTACAAGCCAGAGAAAGAATATCCTCGGGACTTACCGAGGAGCCCGATACCGCCGCTCCCAGCTGAGGAGCACATGCCTGTGCCTTTACCGGCCTCCGACACCTACACCCTTCGCAGCACAATCGTTTTGCCGCACGATCATATAGACGAGATCCGCGAGGAGAAGACTCACCTGTCGCAGGTACCTCGAGTATTATTTCTTGCCGTTTAAATAACGAAACGCTTTTCTGTTCAGTCATCTCCGATAGAATGGATGGAAGTATTCGAGTGGTCAGCTTTTACACGCGCAAAAAATTCACCAGCCTCAGAGTCCTCGAGTCTGACTTTGCACAGCTTGCTTTCGCAGGACAAATAAAAGCAGAGCGATATAATTTGGATCGCGGGAGAAATTTGCGTGTAAACGCGCCGCGTAGCTCAGCTCGCTTCCCGCCGTTCAGCGCGGATCGACAGATTTGTTTAAGTCCAGCGATAAACGCGACTCTGTTGCGAGAACAATGCCGCGAAGAATGAGGACGGAAATGCGTTTCGCTTCTGGGATACGTTGAAGTCTCGAATTCGCTCACACGTCGAACTCGCTGGAGTGAACTCGTTGATCTGCACGAACGAGAACAGCGGGCCTGGTTTCACCGTGTAAATCAAGGTGTCTATCAGGACGGCTAACGGCGCTATCCTTTTCCTCTCGCGTCGAGGTAGATTAACAGAAGCAACATTGCTGTGTAAAAACACTCCGAAAGTCTCGGATTACTCGAAAGAATGACACGCTGAACTTTCGATATGTAGCTCTAAATTTCTCCGAGCCTGGTTATCACAAGCCAAGAGACAAGGGAAATGTCCTTCGAAATTCATTAGGACTTCGATCGTTTGATATATCGTCTAATTGGTGGGAAGGGTTGAGAAGGCTTAGCGATCGCGGCAGGCGCCAGCGTCCACCTATGACTGACAGCTTCGCGCGAAATTATGCGCGCGAACGCCAAAAGCGGATGCTAAGTTTAGAGTCGGGAGCGCGGCTCGTGTCGCGCGACTCCTAACCTACCACTGCGGCGCTATAAATGTTTTTCTTTTTCTCTTTATCTTCATTTTACAACCCGAGGCTCTCTCTCTCTCTCTCTCTCTCTCTCTCTGGGGGATTCCCAAGAGCGCGCGGCCAAAACGCACGCGAACAATTGCGTAAATCAGCGTGACAGGGAATGCTTGGCGGATCCAAGAATACCCTTCCGGCATAGGATGATCTTTCGCTCGATCACAGAAGCTGTCTTTCATGAATATGGAGGAAGATGCGTCGCATTCGCTCTTCTCGTGTACGCCGAAGGAGACTCGGACGGACAATCAACACCAAGACGATATTCGTCAGCGGCGAGAGAGAGATGCGTCTTCGTTTTCGTGAGGAAGCGGGATTTGAAAAGAGAAAGAACTATCTCTCGGAATTCACTTGCGTATTACGCAAGCTTCGCAAGCAGACACGGCGCAAATTGCCGCGATAAAAGGCACGTGCTCGGTTCTCAAAGTCTGCGCGCGCGCGGCGCGGCGCGGCGTCTGGCAAAGGCTCGAGCTCGTTCCGAAATACACCGCTGCACTTTGAAATCCAATAACTCATCGTCGGATCACGTCGCTCACGTACGGTGACAGGGCATTCCTCGCCCTGTTGAATCCGCGATCTTTCCAACATCCGCAAAGGGGGAAACACACGACGGCCGGCTCATTAGAGCGGACGGTGTACCAATGCAATGATTCCGATGATCATCAAGCGCTAGTCGGGCGACAGGACGTATGGAGATTTCACAACACGAAGGGCCTCCCCACTTCAATTACTCGAGAACGAAAAGCGAAACTAAGAACAGAAAGAAGACAAACGGCAAGAAGAAATTAAACCGAGGAAACTGAGGAAATAACACTGAAGTTAAAGTTACTACTAACTCTCAATCGGGTGTCTTCTCCCTGACTGGACTTCTTTGCTTCTCTCTTCGCGTGATTCCGCGTCTTGCTGATAGGAAGAAGCGTGATTCGCCTTGAGATGCGAAATTCCGACGGATCCGAGTCTCTCCTAAAAACGCACGCACGGACTTGAGATTTTCATTAGTTGCTAACAGCAAGGTGAGATTTGCAATAGTCGCAACCTCGCGTCTAGATGTCTCTCGTTTGACGGAGCGCCGTTTTACAAGGCGATACCGACAAGGCTTCGGAAAGAAGAAGAGGAGCGCGCGCGCGCACATCTCTTCGCGTTTATTTCTCGACGCGAGAGCACGCGAGTCGCGGCCGCATACGCACCTGCGTCGCTTGGCAGCCACGACAGACAGGGTGCAAAATCCGTGTGCATCCATCGTGCATCTCGTGCGGCACGGAGAGAGCGCGAGAGCACGGAGAGGCGCCTTTATTCGCGGGAAGTCCGAAGTGTGAATATATTTTTGTTGGCCAGCCGCGATGCCGGAAAGTCCGCCGCGGTACAGCCAGTTGCCGGCACGCTATAAATATCGCTTTTGCATCGAAACCGTCTGCCCCGATCCGATACTCCGCGATTCAGGACGTCATGCTCTCTCTTTCTCTCTCTCTCTCTCTCTCTCTCTCTCTCTCTCTCTCTCTCTCTCTCTTCAGCACGCCTTGTGGCTATTCGCCGCCAGTGGCGAATTTAATCGCGCGTCGTGATCCATCCTATTTGCGATCGAGTAAATACGAGCAACTGCCCTGAAAGGGTAATGACACACGGGTGGCGGACTTACATTTTTGAAAGACCTAACTCGACGAAAGGGCTTCAATTGGAGTGTGCTTTAATCGGAATATCGTCTGTAGGATGGCACGCAAGTAGAGAAAGAGAAGAGCGTTGTACTTGGAAAATGTTGAAATTTCGGAGAAGGAAAAATCGGGAATCTTACGACGGATGATTTCTCTTGTTGACCGGGAAACCTCGTTGGGAAAGAATGCGCGCTAAGAAGACACACCACGTTCGGCGTCTAATGAGTAAGCGGGAAAGAGCGAGAGATTGATCGAATCCTTGGCAATCGAAATTCGCGTATTCGAGCGCGTCTCGTTACGTCTCACCGCGGATTTTCGCTGCGCCAAAGAAAACACCTTTCGGATTTTGAGATCATTTAATCGATCGTCCCGAGGCAATAATCAATTTGTCGGAAATCTTAGTAGTCGCGAACGAACGGGGCCACACGCGAAGACAAGTTTCAGCCGAGGGGGGGAAATCCAAAGTAGTTTACACACCACGCGAAAGGTATCAAGTTTGGTGCGAGGAAGGTTACGTTAATATATATAATCCAAGATTATCTCAACACAATCTCGAGTTATGTTTTAATAAAATTATATTAAATTAACCCTGGTTAAATTTAATCCCATTGACGAAGAATTTAACTCGAAATTATTTGAAAAAAATAAGCGCGCGGATGGATGTGCCGACACGAGTCTCGCAAGGATATAAGAAAATCTATTTATAGCTCGGCGTATTTTGTTATTTTTGAGCGTCGGCAGATAAATTTAGCAGCCGTTAATAGTGCGGTTGCGTGCTGTTCACAAACGGATCCTGATTAAATCGACTTTGACCGATCTGCTTATCGGCCCGACCCGACGATTCGTTTAGCTCGCTCAATCGGCCGATTCAACCGGAGCTTCTGAACGTTTCTTTTTTTTTTCTTTTCCACTCGTTCCACTCGCGACAGTTGGAAGATGATCGCCAACGGCAGCCCTTCCGGTATCAAGAGCTTCGCGCGGACGGGAGCGCGAGCGTTTTCGACGCGAGAGGTCCGAGGGAAAGAGAGAGAGAAGAGAGAGGAGAGAGGAGAGAAGAGAGAGAGAGAGAGAGAGAGAGAGAGAGAGAGAGAGAGCCGCGTGGAAAAGGCCAGAGTTAGTGCCGCCCGCGCTCGCGTCGTGCCAGTAGTGCTTTAGCGCGAATAATCCCGCGAGAGTCGCGAACGAGCGAGGGACGACGCGATTGCGAGAGCGAGAGTGTCGCGAAAAGGGTGACGGGCGAGGACATCCGGAGAACGAGCAGAGGGTAGCAGGGGTTTTGCGAGGTGGTTTTCCGGCGGTGTGTCTCGAAGAAACGAACGGCAAGATGCCCGCTTATACGACAGTCTATCGTTACAACATCGAGCACCACCCTAAGGAGGAGGAGGCGGCTGTTTACTGGGTACGAAAAAGCTGTTCTGCTTCCTTTTCGCCTCTTCTTTTCTTTTCTCTTCTTCGTCGGACTCGCGATCGAGGAGGAATATATCGAGACGAGCCATGAGAGCGCGGAAACTCCGCGCGTCTCTCCGCGACCGAGCGAGGCGTGAATCGTCCCTCGCCCTTGAACGTACGTCTTCTTCGCGGCCAAAATATGCCCGAGGATTTTGCGAACGGCCGTGCATCGCGTTCGCGGGAGAGGGAGAGAGAGAGAGAGAGAGAGAGAGAGAGGAGAACGAGGGTGACATTGCGTCCGCGAAAACCGCACTGCACCGGTGCGTGCGCGTGTGAGATGATGATGATGCGCATGTAAAAAGTCATGTAAAACTTCACACTCGTTCAGCGGAGAATTGAAGAGGAATCTCTTTCTCGCCGATCGTCGCCAAAATCGGAGCTTCGTCTGTCTCTGAGAAAGAGCGATTATCAGACACGGTTGAATGCGCATATTAATATTGACACGTACATATACATGCGTACATGTATAGCTTTTACATAACACGCGAGTATAATTTCTCAAAATATATTATGTTACATCGCAAAAACGTGCGAGATACGTCAGCGATTTAATCATTTAATTAAAGATCGACTTGATCATTTAATTAAACATCGATTGTTCATTTATTTAAGTAGAAAAAAAACATACGATCTACGCCCGCGCGACATTTTGCAGCAAACAACGCGTGCAATCAGTTCCTTTTTCTTGTTTTCTACCGTAATCAGATTACTCTTCGTAGGAGCGACTTTTCCACTTCGTCTTTGCTTGGACTTCGGCAGCCGAAAGCGAGCGTAACCGCGCGAGTTTAACAACTACGTAGTCGCGCGGGCGACCCTAAAAATACCAAAACACGGGAAAGAGTGCGGCCCCGCCGACAGAGAGAGAGAGAGAGAGAGAGAGAGAGAGAGAGAGAGAGAGAGAGAGAGAGAGAGAGAGAGACGCGTTCACCACTCGATATACCGAAAAACGAGCGGCGCGGGCAGAATAATAGAGTGGCCGGACGATCTAGATCTCGCGGAGTCTGCCAACCTTGACATGGTATTCGCGGTGTAATTGTGCGATTTTTCGCCCCCTTCGATGCATCGCGGGGGCCGATTTTCCCCCTGGATCTTCATTCGCCAGAGCCTCCCCCTCAACGAAAGGCAGCGCATCATCGCGCGATGTGCAACGCAATCGATGCAATAAAATGCAACGCGGGCGTCGCCGCGCGCGCTTTGCGTCGCATCGCGTGGCGTTGCGTTGCGATGCCGTTCATCGGTATCGCGTTCTATTTTCGTGAACGGGATCTGGGTTACTCAAACATGAGAGAGGCCGTCATACAAAGACACACCCACGTTCTCTTCGCGTTTTTCGAACTCGGCCGGCCGCCCGGCTCGAGAAATCGCCCCGCGAATTATCAGACGCCGTGCGCGGCGCGTTAATCGCACAAGGCCCGATATACTCGCGGGGCGATTGTCTGAACAATCGGAGATTCGATATCTTTCGGGCCGGGAAATAATCCAAGATGCGAAATGTAAGATGCTTTGATGAGACGAACTCGACTGAATCGACGGAATCTTGTTCCACGTCGAGAGAGAGAAAGGAGAGAATCACCACGGCGAGTCAGATCGCCCGACTGAATCGTTATCGCGCGCGTTAAGCCTTTCTTAAGTTTAACAAAGATGGGACGGATCTGCTCGTTAGCGCCTTGCCAACGTGTTCCAATCAGTTTCCCAAGAGTTCAAGTTTCACCTCGACGCCGCCGCCGCCGCCAAGCAATAAACACTCCTCGGAAACAGCTGTTTCGCTCCGTCTCAATATAGTCCGCTGGACTTTTTGCAGAGCTTGCGACGTGCGAGCAAGGGACACTTGCGAAGACTCGAAAGCAGAAGAGACGAAGATAAAAATGAAAGAAGACAGTCGTACGCACTCGCGGACAATCGAACTCGTCGAACCGTTCGCGATTAACCAGTCAGCCAAAAATCTGCCGACCAGTCTCGCGTGAAGATTGCCGTACCAAAAATGCATCATCATGTAATTCTGTAACATCCCAATACCCCCCTCATATTCTACACGGTGAATAGGGGTTGCTTGAATTAACTTGGCAGCGGACTGAAAGGGAAATAAAATCTTATGAGCCAAACTCAGTCAGATTCGCTCAAAAGCAGAAATTCCGTTCCCTTAAGGAAAGTTCGATTCGTTCATCGCAAGGTTGACTCGATCTTTTTGCTCCGCGTAACACTTCGACTTTGTCGAAGCTTCACTCCACGTCCTTTCGCGATCCGCTTCAAAGTGATTCGCGGTTGAAGGAAGTGGTCTGTTCCTTTTAGCTGCACCACGGAACTAGCTCGGAATAAGTTAGAATGAGACGACTATATTTTTTCTCACTTTAACTTATTGCACCAGTTCAGTAGCGCAGCTGAAAAGAACAGACCGAAGATCAACGCGAGACGAGACGTCGTCGAGACGGAACGGAAATAAGACGCCCTTTGGGCCGAGCGACCTTGCTCGACCCACTGCTCCCTTCTCAGCCATCGTGGCGACGCACGCTTCCTGGTGAAAAAGTCATAGAAAAGTGAAATCATGGAAAAGCGAACGGATGGAGACGCGAGAGAATACGCTCTCTCGCGTACACGGCTCGCGGGGTGCGCGTTATTTTTGCCGGCCAGGGGCCTTCGTCTATTTCGAGAGAGTCACTCGCGCTCACCCTCTAACATAATGACGTATCTGACCCATTTATAATGGAATCATCGTAATCGTGATTTCGCCTCGGCCGAGGCGCGAAATCCGAGGCGCGAACTTGCGACTTGAAACCGCGGGTCTAAAATTGTAACGTCGCGCCGCTGATGCGAAATTCATGCGAATGGCGCTCCTTCAACCCTCTCGAGGTAGCTCCTTGATCTACGGTGCGAGCGAAGTTTCACGTCCTTCCTTCTTTCGATCAGGAGGTCAGGTAAAAGGTACCAATAAAATATATTTCATGAACATTTTTGAACATTTTAACGTACGAATCTAAATTTCTTGGAGTGACGTTTCATGCGAAAAGAGCGACTATCGAGTCGAGTTCGAGTGTGGCTTCGCTTGTGTCGAGTGAATCCTTCACCTCGAATCGTTCAGTGAATACCTTCGCTCGAAATTAAGGGGACTGGAGGGTCAGATTGCTGAAAAATCGTGCTTGTTTTTGACAATATTTTGCGATGAACTGAATAAATGTGCAAGAATGAAAATTTTAGGTATTTATACAGCATGTGAAGAGTAGAAAAATTTTATTTATTAACAAATACTCATATAAATATACGATGTATATAGCTGAAATATGCCCTCCTTTTTTTTTTCAAGTTGTCGTTTTTGCAGTAATATCTCGGCTCTCGGTGGTCCGATCAGAGCGAATTTTAGCTAGAAATCTTAAGGAAGCTTATCATTATCCGGTGAAACACTATAAAAAAAAATCGAACAAAATTAACAAAATGCTATTATTAGCTATTATTAGGAAAAAATTCCAATTTTTCAGTTTTTTTACAATAAAAAAATTAATATCTCGAAATGAAATATTTTGACGGAGTTGTCCATGGTTCACCTGAGAGCCAGACGAACAAATATTATTGCTTTAAAATTTCAAATCGATACGAAGCTCAGTTTCGGAGAAATCACTGCAAAAAGTTGAACAATAAAATTTCGAGAAAAACGCGTTTAAAATTTAAATGAACGTATATTTATATGAATATTTGTTTAAAAAAAAAATTTTTCTACTCTTCATATGTTATATAAACATATGTAAAATTTTCATTCTTGCACATTTATTCAGTTCGTCACAAAATCATTATCAAAAACAAGCACGATTTTTCAGTAATCTGACCCTCCGGTCTCCTTAAAGAGTAAATCCGATGTAGTCTATCGTCACAGGGACATATTTCCTCTAATTGATTGGAACATTCGCTATTCTACCATCTTCAATCGGTTTTCGCAATTAATTTTGTCTAGACCTATTTTTTCCAGATTTTCCAGATTGATCTTCTAGATCCACTTTCTAGATCCCAGGTGAACTGAGGACGCGATTTACATGCAGGGAGTAGAGCTGTAAATCGTAACAATGCGCCGCGATACGATGAAAGAGCATCAACGTGTTTGGTGTTTTTTTTCCATCGACGCGGAAGCTGTCGCAAGCTCGACGCGCAACAAGTCCGTGGCTTGACGGAGTAAAGTCGCTCGTAAATCTCGAGCCGTCCTTCAAAAATGACTATTTCTGCGGCTATTTCACACGCGTTTCATCGCGGGAATGAGGCGAGGGTTTACTTTCCGCGAGAAAATGACGCGACGATCTTACGGCAGCTGCAACAATAGCTCGCTTCCTCGGCTTCGCAAAAATATCCGCGGAAATTTCGCGAACGTTTCGCCTCTCTCCGTTTGTTCTCGCGGATGTATTTCAGCTCGACACACACTGTAAACAGAGACGAGACGCGCGTGGCGAATCAGCGATGCATGATGCATCCAGAATCACGTAATTTCATAATCACGCGCAAAAGTTAGCCGCACATGTGACGTAACGATTTGTAACTTGCCAAGTGGTTGATTCGCAATACGAAGGCGACCACTGTCGTTTTATGTAATTTTCTCATTGTGAGCCAGCTGGGCGGAATTTCGGCTCTTTTGGGACTGATTGGATTGGTCAACAGGCGAGATCACTTCCGATCCGCGGTTTCGCGCCAAAAAGAGCGATCAACATGTTGCTCCTAATAATTATCCGCTCTATAAAAGTGATATGACGCGAGAGTATCATCCTCGTGGCAAAGATGATTTATTATCGATTTAAGATGAAAGTGTTTAGTCACACACACACACACACACACACACACACACACACACACACACACACACACACACACACACACACACACACACACACACACACACACACACATATACACACACGAGAACTCTCTCTCTCTCTCTCTGTCTCCCTCTATCAGCGAGAAAAAGGATATCAAATAGCGCTATAAAAATTTTTGAAACTGACTCAGCTTCTTCGATTATTTCGAAGATCTTTACAACTGTCAACACTCAAAGTCTTTCCTTTTGCTGGTAATTTGTTCTGCTCCTATCGTTTTATTGTAACAACAGAATTCTTCTAATCTTTTCCAGTAATAAATGAAGTATATATAAAATAATGATTAAATTACTGAGTAGGTAGATGGTAATAGTAAATTAAAGTATTATAGTAAATTATAGTAAATAAAAAGAAATTAAAAATCATTCAATACGGGCGTTAAAAAATACATAAAATTTCACCAAACACGCACACACATATTACGGTAATCGAGTCTCGAAACTGTCGATCGTTCATATTACGAAACAGGAACAATGTCATCATCGTCTGCAACATCGTCGCAAATTTATTTTCGTCGTTGCTCGGAATTATGGTGACATAAGCGTCGAAGATTAACGAGCCACTTTTCGATCGCTATGGCCTCCATTACAGTTTATTTTCGATAACGTCAGCTAATTAGGGCCGCTTTGGCAAGACGCTGGTGACAAGTTATATCTTCGATAAGGGTTGCAATTGCGATTACGTCACGAGTGTATCGTAAATCATCGCTGAGGACGATACCTGATGTAACGTGTATCTCATCATCAGACTTTACACGCTTCGATACGACTTTCCAGCTAGCCAGCACTAACCTGACGTGCGTTTTTTTCCAGCCCTACCGCACGACTCCTTTGGTCTTGCCAGGTGCCAAGGTCAAGAAGGATGCTCCTCTCGGCGAATGCTACCTGCGGCATCATCCGAACCCGATGATCCGGGCGGCGCCCCATCATTATGAACCCGCTCACCCTGAGGTGGCTATGAAGCAAAAGGTAATCCAGAATCCTTACGCGCGGCCACCCCCTTACACATCGTCCTTCGTCCCCGGCATAAGTCGAAAATGGGCCCAGCTGTTCTTTTTCTTCTTCTCATGGGGACACGTTAGTCGAGTCGTGCGATGCTTCTCTCGTGTCAGATCATTTAAAAATCGTATTTCATTGCACGTGTGAGCAGGTGGCGGAAACGGTGCTTCAGCGTGTCTTGGCACCGAATGAAGTTCCAAAGGTTTGGACCATTTTCTTTTCATTTTTTTTCTCTTGTTCTACTTGTTCTTTTTACAAGTCGCTTCCGCTTCCGAGAAACGACGCTTACGCTTTGGTTACGGCGTTACCCCGCAAGGGTCTCGAGTTTCTTTTATTTTATTTTTCTTCTTCCTTGCGGAAGTCTTCGTTCTAAAGCTTCGTTTTCTCTTGTCATTTCTGTTTCTTTTTTTACGAGATTCACTCCGTCGCTATCGCGATTTTTACTCGCAGTGTGACCAACGACTAATAGCAACACTTGCAGGATGAAACCTGTCCTGAAGTGTGATGTCCTGGACTCTCGTCTAGTTAACTCGATAATACTCGAAATAACACCCGATGCATCGATATCGCATCGCGGACTGGATGAAGCTTGCATTATTTCTCATAATTATAATTAAATTACTAAAGTGACTCGTAATTAAGTTTTACCTTGGTGATTTTCTTATTTTTGGAGTAACACTCGTTTATGGGATATACCGCATCTCTCGCTTGAGTCATCACGGGTAACCATTAACGTGTGATTCAAAACGTGAGAATTTGGATGACCAAACCGTCGATTGACGGTCACACATTGTGGCTATTGTCTTGTGACACAGCGACAGTTTACAGAGTAAACACAGGTCTCGTCTGTCCACGTTAATATTTTCGACATGAGAGAGAAAGAGGAGACAGAGAGAGAGAGAGAGAGAGAGAGAGAGAGAGAGAGAGAGGGGGGGGGAGAGAGAAGGAGAGAGATACACTTGGCATTAGCCGAATGTTTGTTGCGTTCAATGCCAACACGCTAGAGTTATGTTTACTTTTTGCAGCACTATATTGTCATAACGTAATAGCTCAGTGGCAAATAACACGATTTGATGACACACTGCAATAATACGCAACATCCTCAGTAGATACTTATGTTGTTGATGCGTTATTAATTCTCCGTTACCGCACGAAAGTCTCACGGGATATTCGCGTGCTGGGGTTACCCAACGTTATTTTTCGATTATGCCGTTGAGGTAAACATCGTGGGGTAACGTTATATCGCGTAGCGAAGAAACGCGGCGGATCTTATGCACGTTTTTCTTGCATGAGAAACATCGGTCGTCCGAACCTCATGGGGATATCTTCTCGGATTTTGCGTGCGGTGTAACAATGTCGCGCGCGCGCGACAATAGCGCGACAGCGTGTGTGTGTGTGTGTATGTGTGACAGCCTGATGACGACGTATGAACGACAAAATTCCATTTTCCAGGTCGTCCACAAGCAATTCAACTCACCGATCGGGCTTTACTCGGAGCAGAATATCGCGGACACCATCAAGTGCCAAGCGTCCGCCGTGCCGTAAGTAGTCGATCGTTAAATTCACTCGACGACGGCCCACTAAGTTCATTTAACTGGCCTTCTTAACACCAAATTAGATGCATAGTCATACTTAACGAATATACGCTAATACGCCGTGCAGCTTGCAGTAATCACAGAGGTACGATTAATAAAATACGATTAATAAAAATTGGCTTTATCGCTGAATGCCACTCACTCTATCTCTCATAGATCACTGTGACGTGTGCGAAAATTGCTCACGCAAATACATACAGTCCGATTTTCCAAGATTTCGTTTGGAACCGGCAGGTATCACTTCACGATATTCTCACCTCGAAAATGAACTCTTCATTTCCGACAAGTCGCTAATCGATTCGGTGATTTCCAGATGGAAAGTAATCGATTCAGAAATTTTCCAACTTGTAACTCGCCAGAATAAATATCTGCTCATTTCTCTGGAGATTCGGTTACTTCTCACAAATATATTTCATAATTAAGCGTATAATCCGCGAAGCGTTAGTGACTTTAAGTTGTTGTTTCCCGAGTTTTTAGAGATTCATGCGCAATTTCTCATCGTATTAGAAATTCTCACGGAGAAACGCGCACGGAGAGAGGAAAAGAAAATTATCTCTTTCGGCAGACGATATGTATTCATGAGGCCTGACTCAAGCAAAATTACCAATTGGAGAAGTAATCTGAACTTATTGTGCTCAAGGATGCACGACCGCCAATCTTCGGTCGTTAAAGGAAGGAACATCGGCTCTCGGTCCTTCTCCGTCTTTTTTTTTGCTATGCGGCTCTCAGGTCCTCCTGATTGATTGATTACTTACGTAGCGGTTTGTTTGTTTTCCAGCATTTTCATAGACTTTTCCTTCCTGAAACAGAAACAGGAAATACAGGAGCAAGCGAGAATCTTGAAGGAGCAGGCCAAGGCCGCCTCCTCGAAGAATGTGTGGCCGCAATTCAATAAGCCAAATTAAAATTTATCGAGCCGTTCGAGACGTTTTCCGATGCTTCTAGCACGTCGGACGACAGAGTTTTCCGGTTTTCACACGGATCATTGGACACGTTCCTTTCTTGCCGGAATTTAGAAAATTGTAAATTTATCTCAATCATCGATGTATTCAAGAAAATGTAGAAAAAATCTTAATTTGGGATGCAATGAGAAAAGAGATGAGAGATATAATTAACGATTAATGATAATGTGATAATAGATCAATGGCAATAAATGACGAATGTGGTAAATAATCACGTTAAAAGAAAAAAGAAATTAGCTGTACTGTAAGAGCAGATTAAGATACTCCTTAAATTTATAATTCGGTATCCCGATACAAAAATTTACATTACAATGTCGCAATTTAATCAATAATTAAATCAACTGTCCATTTGTTCTAAATATTATTGCAAAAGAATCTTAATTGAAGACTCAAATTACAGTTACGTGAAAAATCAACTGAAATGAATATTTTGATTAATCATCGGAGTGTAAAATAGAATGAACGTGACCAGTGAATCCCGAACGAATATGTGATTGTTATTTCGAGTTAATTTGCCGTCTATGTTATATAGTAAACGTAAATAGGGTTGCGGTGCATTACAAAAATTATGTAGTTCTTTCGCGAGACACGATCGGAGAAACGGCGCACAAAAAGCTTTCTTCCTAGCAATAGCAGTGCGTCCTTGCATGCGCGATAGAGTAGTGAATAATCAATAATCAATGCTGAATATAGTAGTTGAAAACACGTAAGATTATATTATCTACTAACTTCGATATTTTCTTAACAAATGTTCGTATGCTTGCATCGTAGACACCGTGTATGAATAATTCGAGACGACTTTCGAAAATTACGTCTTCGACAATTGTTTGTCTCGTACGTTTGTCTTGTTTAAAATAAGGTAATTAATTGTACGCTCATATTTCCTCGGTGACAGAACAAGAAATTAGAATCTGTATAAACAGATAAAGAAACTTTCGTTTTTTTTATTATCGAATCATTCTGCAGTGTGTGGATCCTCTTTAACTTAAAATTTACTTATAGTGGTATAATTGAAAATTGTGTTACTATATAAAGATCTCATGTGATTAAAATCATAACAATCTCATGTCATTTTGCACATATATATTAAAAATCGTTGATGTCGTTTCAGGGATCGAAACAAGATTTTACCATGAACTTAATCTTTTATTTTTCAAAACTGCAAATGGAACTTGCACTTATATGTATAAAGGATTCCTTATTAAATTTGTATGATTTTTGCTGTTTCTTTTTAATCGCAAAAACGGATGAAACTTTTCGAATACTTTTCTCAAAGACAAGGCGTAATTTTCGAAATGCCCAACGCGTTCTTCTTGATCGGGCATGCACGCAGAATTTGCACGATGAGGAATGATCGCTCTCTCGATTAAACGGCTGGAGGACGCGTCTGAAAGTCGCTCTCGAACAGACGAAAGCAAATAGTAAGATGAAATTGGCAAGAATCGTAACCCCGGCCGCTGCTAACCGAGCCAGATAGAAAAAAAGATAGGGAAAAGTGCGAAAGCGATTAAAAGTCGTCCCTGTGTCCACACATGCGATACGTGCAGTCTGAAGAAGCCGGTCAAGTACGATCCGAGCAAGAGCGAGGCATACAAGGCCCTGCAGGAGGAGGCGTTCGGGGACTATGTGCAGGAAGTCAGGCAACCGGTTCGTACCGGCGTCTTTACGCCGCAGAAATCCAACAAGGTGTGCGCCCTCATATCTACCGAGAGAATCTACCGAATTTTTCAGCAACGATAAAGTCTTCGCGCTTAATCCTCGAAACCAATTTGTTCTCTGACCGAAATTTGTGTGATTCGGTGTTCTTGCTACATAAATTAATTGTTTTATCTATATTAGACGTTAAATATCGGGAACTCTCTATATTAAACATTGGAATGCCTTAACGTATATTACAGTAAAAGTTACGATGTTTCTTGGTTCGCAGATATACCAGGCTCCACCGAAAAGTCCTGCATACGTAAGCAACCGTTTTCTCCGTTTAGATTAATTTAAATAACGATTTAAGGGCACACAAACCATTTTGGCAGGCTTCAAGAACATTTTCAAAACGTATCTCTCACTCGCATGTAGTCGCATGGATCTTACGAAAGAATTTTTGCGACAATGCAGCTGCATATTACATTCAAAGCTGAGCTCAAGGTTTTTCGCATTTTGCGCGAGTTATGGTATTGCGTCGCTCATTTTGTAAAATGCGTCAGATTTTATGCTACAACGAGCGTCAGCTTCACCCGGTAGTTTCTCTCACCGACGTCATGTCAACCGTTCTTTCTTCTCATTTTTATCATTATTTTATCGTTTGTTGTATTATTTGTTTTTTCATGAAATATTCATTTATCACTGGCCGGCCTGTTGCGTTCTATAACGTTACCGAGCACAGTCGGACGATGAAACGGCGTCGGATTATATAAGCGACTTGGCACGAGATGCTACTTCTGCATTTCTTTCTTTTTCGTCTACCAAAGCAGCCTGCCAAATCATCTCCCAGTAATAATCGACTGCTGCATTTCACCATTGAGAGATTATTTAAACTCGCACACGCACACGCACACATGCATACACACACACACACACACACACATCCTCATTTCGGACTTATAATAAAAATATTTTGATTTCCCCATACACGTACACGCAAAACACACATATTTCGAGTCTCTTTTGTCACATTTATTATTTTATATTATACTTGTATACTTCATTTATCATACTGCAACTAACTTTAATGATCATGATAATTGCCGGGATTGTCGTTTAATCGTCGCGATTGCAAAACGAGATGGGACTAATTTAATTTTCGGCCTCTGTTTCCTTAAGGGTGGATTTTATAGACGTCCCTTCCCCCTCCCTTTCGTTAAGGACCTCATCAACGACTATTAAAAATTTCGCAGGGACTTGTACGTGCGTCTTTTCTTTGCGATAAGGACTTTTGCGTTAAGTGCTCGTATACGCCCGCTTTCGCATAGCGAAGTTTAATTCATAGAGCAGCTGCCAGATTGTTGCACGCTATACTACCTCGGGTGTCCTGTTCTTTTTTTTATATATAACGCGCGTTAAGAGTTGCTACGAGAACAATTATGCATGTCGCCTCTCGAGACGAAAAGAAAAAAGAACATAAAACAAACCGCCTTTCCTGTGTACAAATTAAGATGTGGTTCACTTACAATGTACCCCTGTGATTCTGCGTAGACGTAGAACGGCTGTGTGTGATTCAATTTTCAGATGAACGTGTTGGACGACGACGGCGAGAAAATTCATCAGAGCAATAGCTTCAAGAGGATCATGTACAGTGTGCTAGGGCAGACCGAATTTTGAAGAGAACTGACGCTATAAATATATCATTTATTTATGTTAAATAAATATACATATTTTATTTATTGTATTATGCAACAAACAAGAATCGCATAGAACGAATGTCGAGTGTGTCGAAGCAAACAAAGGTATCTTCTAATTAAATTTTGTTTAGCGATTGTATTGCGTTTTAGAAAATTGCTTATTGTCAAAAACATTTAGAATGTTAACCGACGGTCCTCGACATTCATTGCTTGCCCGATGCAAACACGCCGTGTATCTTTTAAGCATAGTATTAATATATTAATATTAATATGTATTAAATATAATTACACACCGAAGCTTTTTTCTTCTTTTCTGCGATTATAACTGTTTTCTCAAAAGCTCAGAAGTCCTTTGTTGTTTTAGTGTGTTTTATATCATTCATCTTCTTTCCAAAATCACGAGACTTCTCTTCGCAGAATTTATCGCTGTTAGTCAACAATATCAAATTTTTCGCCTGTGTATCCCTTTAGAGACACCTAAAGTATTTTTTATTCAATAAAATATTAATCAATTAATCATTTGTGTTTTTAATTTTGACTGTAATCCCTAAAAGAATTCAACGTGGCAGATTCTAATAAAATGTGATGAAAATGTCCCGAATGTTTTTGAACCAACATTTTTGCCAACTTTATGAAAAACTGAGGATGAATTTTTGTAATTGACGAAAAATATAAGTATCTTTAATTTTAGATTTAACTCATTGTTGACCGAATAACATAAACTAAATAATAACATCTTTTCTGGTACTCACTGACGTACGCAAGTTATGCATAATGTAAACAAAAAAGTAAAATCGCTGATATTAAACATGTAAAGAATTCAATAAAAGGATTTATAATTTACCGCGTGTATTATTTTTCCTTTTTGGTTTAGAGAAGCTCTCCTTCGTCAATTGGAAACAAAACTGAAGATTTTATTTGAAATATAAGCGGCCAGAAACAGGCCTGTATCTCTAATAGTTTAGGAGATATCGAAAGTTAAAGTTTTACAGCCTTTCTCCGTCGATATCCAGCCTTCCTCCGTCGATATCTCCGCTTCTACTGGGAGTAGAGAGTCGTCCATGTAGTCGAAAATGTAGGGTTTTGCGAGGACTTTAATTTGGTACCAGAGCCAGGCTTGTATCTCTAACCGTTTAGGAGATATCGAAGATTAAAGTTTTCCAACATTTCTCCCTTGATATCTCCGCTTCTACTGCGAGTAGAGAGTCGCCATTTACGGCAAAATGTAGGGTTTTGAAAGAACTTTAATTTGGTACCAGAGCCAGGCCTGTATCTCTAACCGTTTAGGAGATATCGAAGGTTAAAGTTTTCCAGCCATTCTCCGTCGATATCCAGCCTTCCTCAGTCGATACATCGCTTTTACTGGGAGTAGAGAGAGTCGTCCATGTAGTCGAAAATGTAGGGTTTTGCGAGGACTTTAATTTGGTACCAGAGCCAGGCCTGTATCTCTAACCGTTTAGGAGATATCGAAGATTAAAGTTTTCCAACCTTTCTCCTTTGATATCTCCGCTTCTACTGGGAGTAGAGAGTCGCCATTTACGGCAAAATGTAGGGTTTTGAAAGGACTTTAATTTGGTACCAGAGCCAGGCCTGTATCTCTAACCGTTTAGGAGATATCGAAGGTTAAAGTTTTCCAAGCTTTCTCCGTTGATATCTCCGCTTCTACTGGGAGTAGAGAGTCGTCACTTACGGCAAAATGTAGGGTTTTGGGAGGACTTTAATTTGGTGCCAGAGCCAGGCCTGTATCTCTAACCGTTTAGGAGATATCGAAGTTAAAGTTTTCCAGCCTTTCTCCGTCGATATACCTCTCCGTCGATATCCCGCTTCTCTGGGAGTAGAGAGTCGTCATTCGGCAAAATGTAGGGTTTTGAGAGGACTTTAATTTGGTGCCAGAACCAGGCCTGTATCTCTAACCGTTTAGGAGATATCGAAGGTTAAAGTTTTCCAAGCTTTCTCCGTTAATATCTCCGCTTCTACTGGGAGTAGAGAGTCGTCACTTACGGCAAAATGTAGGGTTTTGAGAGGACTTTAATTTGGTGCCAGAACCAGGCCTGTATCTCTAACCGTTTAGGAGATATCGAAGGTTAAAGTTTTCCAAGCTTTCTCCGTTGATATCTCCGCTTCTACTGGGAGTAGAGAGTCGTCACTTACGGCAAAATGTAGGGTTTTGGAGGACTTTAATTTGGTGCCAGAACCAGGCCTGTATCTCTAACGTTTAGGAGATATCGAAGGTTAAAGTTTTCCAATTTCTCCGTGATATCTCCGCTTCTACTGGGAGTAGAGAGTTGTCACTTACGGCAAAATGTAGGGTTTTGAGAGGACTTTAATTTGGTTGCCAGAACCAGGCCTGTATCTCTAACCGTTTAGGAGATATCGAAGGTTAAAGTTTTCCAACCTTTCTCCGTCGATATCTCCGCTTCTACTGGGAGTAGAGAGTCGTCCATGTAGTGCAAAATGTAGGGTTTTGAAAGGGCTTTAATTTGGTACCTGTCCGAAGCCTGTATCTCTAACCGTTTAGGAGATATCGAAGGTTAAAGTTTTCCAAACTTTCTCCGTCGATATCCATCTCATCCGCGATTCTTTACTGGGAGTAGAGAGTCGTCCATGTAGTCAAAATGTAGGGTTTTGAAAGGGCTTTAATTTGGTACCTGTCCGAAGCCTGTATCTCTAACCGTTTAGGAGATATCGAAGGTTAAAGATTTCCAACCTTTCTCCGTCGATATCTCCGCTTCTACTGGGAGTAGAGGGTCGTCCATGTAGTCAAAATGTAGGGTTTTGAAAGGGCTTTAATTTGGTACCTGTCCGAAGCCTGTATCTCTAACCGTTTAGGAGATATCGAAGGTTAAAGTTTTCCAACCTTTCTCCGTCGATATCTCCGCTTCTACTGGGAGTAGAGAGTCGTCCATGTAGTGCAAAATGTAGGGTTTTGAAAGGGCTTTAATTTGGTACCTGTCCGAAGCCTGTATCTCTAACCGTTTAGGAGATATCGAAGGTTAAAGTTTTCCCAACCTTTCTCCGTCGATATCTCCGCTTCTACTGGGAGTAGAGAGTCGTCCATGTAGTCAAAATGTAGGGTTTTGAAAGGGCTTTAATTTGGTACCTGTCCGAAGCCTGTATCTCTAACCGTTTAGGAGATATCGAAGTTAAAGTTTTCCAACTTTCTCCGTCGATATCCAGCCTTCATCCGTCGATATCTCCGCTTCTACTGGGAGTAGAGGGTCGTCCATGTAGTCAAAATGTAGGGTTTTGAAAGGGCTTTAATTTGGTACCTGTCCGAAGCCTGTATCTCTAACCGTTTAGGAGATATCGAAGGTTAAAGTTTTCCAACCTTTCTCCGTCGATATCTCCGCT